TTTTGCTAATTTTTTTTTTCTTATGACGTGTGGTGGTGTTCATTGAATGTTAAAAGATTTTCCGGGGGTTTTTTTTTTTTTTTTTTTTTTTTTTTTCTTTTTCCCTTTTTCCGGAGGATTTGTGAGGTTATCATCTTTCCGCACTTCTCCCTACCGCCTGTGTTCTGTCAGATAGATTTAAATTCCTCACGGAAAAGCCTGGTCTCCCTTGTTATCGGATTCCGGAGAGCAGCGCCAGACAATCAATGGGATGGCAGTGACTTATTTTGCTTCACCAAGTTCCTTTCGACCGTAGACGGATGTTTTCTTTATTTCCCGAGACCGCTAGTTATTGTCCGTCTCGTACGATGACTCAGCATGTCTCCATCACTCCGGGACCGTGATGATTCTGTCGAAACACATCGAGCTTTAAAGAGAACATCTCATACTCACGAGATGGTATATGCACAATGGCATCGGAATTTGTACCCGAGACATCTGAAATTGGTTCTTTGACGGCACACTCGAATGAGGATAGCCAGTTCGTCGGTAGCTCAAGCGGCGTCTATTTCATCAAGACAGTAAAACGTGCATTCAACGGCTTAGATGGCCCGGGGTCACCTGAATCCAATCTCCCCACAGCAGAGGAAACGCTCGTAGGCGCCGAAGGCTCACCTCGTGACAAGCGCCAGCGCACTTCATATGTCAGAGACACTGCTTCGTCCTTGCGGGTGATCGAATCTTCCCCAAAATGGACCTACGACCGATCATTGACGGCATCTCTGGGGAATCTACCACCCCCAGATGTGGCTAGGGGCCTGATGATGATGTATTTCAAAGTCTGGCACCCACTGTTCCCGTTTCTGCATGGTCCTACCTTCCTGCAGGCAATGGAGAACGTTTACTCCAATGGGAATCAAGCTCAGCACACGCAGGAACCCTGTGCAGACCATCGGAGTACGTGCTGGACAATCATTTTCCAATGTGTCTTCAATCTAGGCATTTTTCTAGCGCCCGACTTAGATCTACAGTCAGAATCGAAGATCCAATCACCGGCCAGTTTCAACTCTTTGCTTGGGACTCTCTCATCTCGACATGATATCGTATCCCTGCAAGCGCTTCTAGCTATCCAAGTATATCTCGTTGCGACCATGTCACTTCGACCAGCATCGACTGTCGGAGGCTGTATCCTACGCTCGATGCTTCATGCGGGTCTCCACCGGTGTCCATTTCGATACAAGCAACTCTCCACCCACGACCGACAATTGCGGAAGCGGGTCTTTTGGTGTGCTTATGCGATAGATAGATACCTGAGCCAGGCTTTGGGCTTGCCGCTTGGTATACAAGATTCCGATATCGATGTATGTCTGCCTGCCGCCCGAGAATTGCATTCCCCCCGGGGCCACTCTGCGAATGGTAGCTCTGCGCCGCAGCACGGCAATAAAGAAGACTACAGCAAGGAAAGTGTTCTTGCTAGCTACGTTGACTCGGGGACCCTGACGGGTCGGGCATTGGAGCTCTTCCACAAATCAATATTGGTTCGATCTGTTCGTCGCAGCTCGGTGTTGTTCCTCGTGACAGACGTGCATAAGTGGTGGAATTGCCTTCCCACCAATCTCCAAATCAAGCCAGTGGTATCTGAACAAGTGGTGAGGTCTGTATTGCCAGACAGTGCGTTTGATTTTGCTCCTTTTTTCACTGTGCTGTATCAGCATCTCATTCTGATTATCCATCGACCTTCGCTGTCCCTAGATCCGTCAACTGCCGAATTCTGTTCTGGATTGCAAACCTGCATCGGGGCTGCCCGGGCTATCCTTTCGGGGCTGAGGTTGCAAGTTGATAGCCACCAGGCTTTATTCTGGCCTGGTTTTTTGTCGGCTGCGTGGATGTCTGGGTTAGTGTTGGCTTTAGCTTGCCAACTGAACCAATATGTGTTGACAAAGGGTCTTCAGTACGTGGGGTGTTTCTTTTTCCTCTGCTAGGTTTCGAACTGATCACTACGTGTGTGTACTAACTGCTTGATAGGGAAATTGATGAATTTTCGGGATTCTTGCGTTTGATGTCTACTCAATGGGAGACAGCCAAACACTGCCACATGTCGCTTTCAGTGCTGGCTGCAAAAATCCAACAGTCAGAAAGCGGATCCGATAAAACAGCAAAATCACAAGCATATGTGATGAGAGGCTCCGAGGGAAGTCCCACACATGTGGAATATTCAACCGCACGGGAGGAGAACAGACAGAGACTTGGTCGTCTGTCGCACTTGCATGAAGAGCCTGGCTTATTCGCAGGGGCGTCCGAGCTTGAGTCACGGAATAACACATGGGTGGAATCCATGCACAGAGGACATGATCCTACAGTAGTTCCTTCGACGTCAATGTACCCGTCACAAATGAACGAGCAGGGCATCCTCACCGATACATCCTCTTCAACGCAAATGGATTTACAGGACACAGATCCGGCACAGCTCAAGGGGTCATCTAATTTCGACTTGAACATGGTGGATTTAATCGAGGGCGCTAACTTTGACACTCTGTTCGATATGATCGGACAGCAATTCCCAAGCTTCTAAGACCATGCTATCACCCACAACTCAGAAAAAACAGAAAATAATCTACAATGATATCAAAGAAGACCAACCAAAATAATGCATATTGTTTACGCTGTGGGTATTTCTCTCAAACGCTCATGTATTGATAGCCTCTCATTCGGGCCATAAACCAGCCATCTGCACCATCAACCCCGGCGCCGGTCTTGTACCCCACGCCGGAAAAGCAAAGCCCGGTTGATGCGCACTCTCCCATTCCGAATCTCCTGGCAATAGTAGTCAGCCTGCAGCTCCGCCGCGGCGAGAATAGACGCCTTGTTGGAATGGTAGTCTCCGGGCACCTTGATAGAGACGCACAGTGGGTAGTCATGATGCTTGGCATGGACGGAAATCGAAGCGGTGCTTGTTCGGATATAGGCGACGACGGTGCGCATTAGAGTCTCGTCGTCGGAGTTGGAATCCCGCGCCTTGATGAAGACGTTCACCCAGTTGCTGACCTGGCGTGGATCGTACTCGGGCTCTGGGATTAGCTCCCCGTCGAAGTAGAACATGCTCTGCATCTTTGTGAGGTTAGAATTGAGGATGGCCATGTTTTGGATTTGGGGGGTGCTTACCTTGTGGTTATTTGCTGTGAAGTGGTAAGAGGGAAGGGAGGAAAGATAAGAAGGAGGTTTCGAGTCCCTTCCTGTTGTGTTTAAATACTTTCTCTGCCTAGTAGCTCTTTTCTTTATTGTTTATAGTCAGGAGTCTATCTAGGCAAGAACAAAGGAGTCATGATACAATGTCATTTTCAAGCCTTTCATCTATTCCCCGATATCTTTGTGCGTCTGTATTTTTATGTCTTTGGTATGCCACTTAACATCATGCATAATGTCTCTGAATCCCAAACCGTTTAGTGCTTTAACCTGACTATAGATATAGATATCAAGGCTCGTGTGCATGCATGACCCCGGGACTACCTATACAAGTTACCAGCTGAATTACTACAGTATAGATACTTGACAACATAGTGGACAATTCAGGATGATCCAACTTCCCATTCTATCAAATAGCCGGTCCAAACAAGCTCTAACCACTTCAAGCATCAAAATTCCCTTTTCCCAAAGACCAAACACTACCTCCTCCGAAAGAGCAAAGACCGATTAATATTAACAGAGCCCCTAGCAACCTGTCCCCGAAGATATTCCGCCAATAGCTCTGCAGTAGCAAGAATCGACTCCTTGTCACCATGTTCCCCGGGAACTTGGATCGAGATGCAGAGTGGGATATCGTGGTGCATAGCATGGCCAGTGATGCTGACGACTCTTGTGCGGATGCAAGTGACGACTGTGCGCATTATGGCAAGGTCATCGCATCTGTAGTCGCGGGCATTGAAGAATATGTTCACCCAGTTCGTTCCTCGGGGATTGTATTCGAGCTCTTGGATTAATCTTCCGTTTTGGTAGAACATCCCTTGGATATTATTAGTTGGTTGGTAGGTTTGTAGTTGGAGGGGACAAATCTTGCTTTTGATGATCAATGAGATAGATGGATTCGGGGGGCTTTGGCTTGTTTGAAGGCCCGTCTGAGTGCTTTCTGAAGGACTATGAAGGGTGCTGAAGCCCGTTTAAATGTTGGACTCTTAAGACAACAGCATACTGATATTGTTACCATTCCTTTTATATGAGGAAAACAGTGTCATATTGCTATAATGACATTTCCGGATTTCTTAGTTCATCGCCTGCTGATCTGTTCCGTCTTGTGTGAGATGCCTTTGACATTTTCTTTATGATATTCATACATATTTGACAGATAACTGATATTTCTGGACAATTCTGGAAGACGCGTTGCTCACTACTTAAGGTGTCCTATAAATCAGTTTCTGTATTCATCATTTGGTATTTTGTGTCTATCGATATTCAATGCAGGGCCGACTGATTAGTTCATCCAAAGTCATATTTCAGATGACCTGAGACGAAGACATTGAGAAACAAAGATAAGAAGAAAAGAACGAAGGAAAGACAATGAATTGTCTCAGATCTTCTTTCACAACTTCTCAATCTCCAGGCAAACAGCATCCACAATCCCTTGAGTGTTAGATGTTCCCCCCAGATCAGGAGTCAGAATCCCTGCAGCACAGACACGCTCCACACAACCCATCAGCTGGGCAGCAGCATCCTTCTCACCAATCCAGACAAGCATCTCCGCCGCCGACCAAAAGGTAGCAACGGGATTCGCAACCCCTTTCCCAGTAATATCAAAAGCACTACCATGGACAGGCTCAAAAATCGACGGATTCTTGCGTGTAGGATCCAAGTTACTGGAAGGCGCAACACCGATAGATCCCGCCAATGCAGCAGCAAGATCAGACAAAATATCCATATGCAAGTTCGTCCCGACAATCGTATCGATTGACTGCGGCTTCGCCACCATACGAACAGTCATCGCATCAACAAGCATCTTATCCCAGGTCACATCGGGGAAGTCCTTCGCAACCAATTCCGCAATTTCATCCCACAGAACCATCCCGTTGCGCATCGAGTTGCTTTTTGTGACAACGGTCAGAAGCTTACGCGGCCGCGACTGCGCTGTCTCAAATGCGAATCGCATAATTCGCTCGATTCCCACGCGCGTGAATATTGCCACTTCCGTCGCGACTTCCCATTGCTGTCCAACGTGAGACCGTCCGCCTTGCCCGGCATACTCGCCTTCGGAGTTTTCCCGTACGAGCATCCAGTCGATGCCTTCGGTTGCGGTGTTGAGAGGGCATTTGGTTCCAGGGAAAGTTCGAACTGGTCGTACGTTGGCGTATAGCTGGAGTGGGCCGCGGAGGGCCAGGAGTAGGCCCCAGAGCGAGATGTGATCGGGCACGTCTGTTTGTGTTAATATTTTTGCTTGGTAGTCGGCATGATGCTATGCAATATAGAAAACATACCGGGTGATCCAACGGCACCGAATAATACCGCATCGTACTGGCGTATGGTGTCAAGGTAATCTTCAGACACATATCGTCCGGTTTGCTTGTAGTACTCGGTTCCCCACGGGATATGCTCAAAGTCGATCTTGAATGTGCCAAGGATCTTTGCGAGTTTCTCGACGACCTGGATTGTAGCACTGACTACCTCGAGACCAATGCCATCGCCTGGGATAGAGGCAATGCGGTATGAATTCTTTGGTGCCATATTGAAAGAGGAAATATGCATGGAACTGGGGAAGATGTAATGAGTAAATTGAATGCAGATGGATGTCCAGACTATATATAAAACACGGCGATTAAAGGTGGCTGATAGTTCATCCTGCCTTTTCGCCGGATGGCCGCTGTAGCGACAAACCGGGACGTTCGGTAGAACTTTCAGGCGATGGGGTCTGCCGTTTACCGCTGCGTGTACCCCACTCCCCTCATACCTCTTGACCTGCCACAAGAAGAAAATAAGATGGCATCAAAATCAAAAGAGAAAAGACCAGCACGTATCACAACTGCTTGCAACTCGTGTCGCTCGAGAAAGCAAAAGTGCAGCGGCCTCAAACCCGTTTGCGAACAATGTCTTGAGAACAACCGACCGTGCAACTGGCCCGAACAGCTTCGAAGAGGACCAGAGAAAGGGTATACCGAAGCACTGGAGAATCGACTCCAGCTCACTGAGAGCATTCTTTTGAATTTGCTTCCGCATGTCTCTGATGAGCAGCTATCGGCTGCGATTCCTCCCCGAGAGAGCAGCCGAGGCCACGCTGCTGGCACGTATGTGCCATTTCCCAGACTTGAGAAGGGGGGGATTGATACTTGGTCGCAATTCCCTCTTGATACTTCTCACGGTATCCGGAGGTGGCAGAAAGCTTGCACTGAGCCTGAAATGGTGGGTTCGGAGAAGAAAAAGCGTTCACAGAATGACAGGCTCCATGGTTCGGTTCCAATATCTCCTACAACTCGAAAGGTCGATGGGACTTCCAGTGAGACACCGAACCATCCGGTCCCTGGGTCGTCACATAAAGAGAGTGCTCCAGTGGAGAGACTGAGCTCTTGGCAGGAAGCCCCTTCATTTGAGTTTCAGCGCCATTTTCTGTGGTGAGGAAACAGAAAACAGAAGCAGGCTTCTTGCTTCAAGCTATTCCTTATCGCTTGAAATACCCTAAATCAACCTATAGCCCGCGAGATCAACCCACGTCCCGACATTGCCTTTGCACATCAATGCTTTCTCAATGGTTGACTAAGCCAGAAAGAAGGGCCCACGTGATCGCTGCAGAGCAAACAATCTCATACCTGTATGGGACCAGATACCATTCAATTGAATTCGACGGATCATGTGATCCTCAATGTGTTCCGAGCAGCTTCAGATGCAAGCTTTGCTGATAACATCGGACGAAAAAGCTCTCAAGGCTTCATTTTCACCCTTTTTAGTGGTCCAATTGATTGGTCAGCGAGAAAACAACGGATTGTTACCACATCGACAACCGAAGCAGAATTAGTTGCACTCTCTGAAGCAGCAAAATACCTACTTTGGATGAAACGATTGCTCCATTCCATTGAGTTTGACACTGAACACGATCTGATCTTATCATATGATAATAAACAGACCATTGATCTGATAACGAAGTCAAATTCGTCATATCAGACGAAATTACATCACGTGCACATCAATAACTAAGCACTGGCTGCGTGAAAAGGTAAGAAATGGAGATATATATCTCCAATGGATTGCCATAAACAATATGATCGCCGACGGATTGACAAAACACCTTTCGTCTCAAAAATACCTTGAATTCTTGAACCAACTGAATTTGAGACAATTGCCTAATCGGGTAACCGAATTCGACAATGTTTGATCCCTTCTCTCTCCTTTCTTATTTTATCCCATGTGTACAGCTTTTGACTAAGGTCAAAATCTGAAGGGGTGTGTCAGAATATATGTGTTCCTTGTTTTAATGATGCCATTGATTGCTTCCTTTGTTCCATCCCGTCTTGCTTTGTTACATCTGAAGAGAGTCATGAATTATCTGATCTTTAAATTGCTGAGCTATCTGGAATGTTTGACTCCTATAAGAAAGCCCAAATTGTATTGAATATTAGTTAGACAAATTGACTATTTCATCCCAGAACATACACTTTGATCTCATCTTTGACCTGACACTAGACCGCCTAGCTGTTTATCTGTTTAAACACTACGCATTTGACCCATCGAGAGTGCATTACGAAGCATCGTGCCTAGTTCTGCCACACTCCAACAGCCCTAACCTCTTCTTTGTCTTCAATGATCTGAAGGTTGCCACGAACGCAAATGCGTGCTTCGAAACTTGTCAAAAAGCCGTTTTCGTCTGATTTGTATTTGAATACCCATCGGATTGGAAGAATTTGATGCCTAGGGCAGGCATTCTGGGGTATTTTTCCACATTGGTCCAACATTGGTCTAAATGCCAATCTCATTTGATCAGTTTCTCAGACATCCAAGCATTCATCTCATTCAGCTTGTCATATTCAACCTGCATTGCATGGTGCCATTCAGCTTTATGGGCATGGAATTGCGCTTCTGACCAGTTGTCTGGTTCTTTTGGCAAACTATCAACCGGTGTCTTCTTTGGTTGAGAGAGTCATGCCGTTGAAAAGGCGCGTAAATAGGTGAGAATAAGGTTCGTCCGATGTTTCTTGTCAGGTGATTCTTCGTCGTCATCATTGGGTGAGAATGGTCGTTTTAGAGAGAGATGTAATCATCTCCATTGACGTTGAAATTGTCAATGAATACCATGAGACCGTCGTCACGTGGTTGATCGTCAATGGTTTCTGACGGCGTAATGGGCTGGTCTCCGAGGATTTCGTCTGGTTCGCTTTCGTCTGGTGTTGCTGGCTGATCGCCAAGGATTTCGTCTGTTTCTGTTGCTTCTGCCTCGGGCATCAATTGGTCTTCCATTTGGTCGTCATGCGTTCCATCAAGTATGTCGACTTCTTCAGCAACCTCGATTTCATCAATCAGTTGGTCGAATTCAGACTGAATCAATGTCGAGATCACTTCATTGGTCTCATTTACCACTTGAACATTGATTTCCCGTTGTTCCGGAGTATAGAAGCTCGTTTCGTCGAAGTAAATTAATCTTAATTCAATCGTAGGCTGTAGTCAACTAATAAGATGACATATTAGGCTTAGGGTCCGTACCTTTGTCTGAATCTGATATACTGGAGATTGTCTGCTCACGGCACAGGTGGACGGTGGAAAGATGCAAAGAAAAATCCCCGTGAGGCAGCGAGCACACTATAGAAGAAGGCAGAAGAAGAATAAGTGTTGAAGAGAGATATCATTGCAATCACGCTGGCAGATTAGTCTGCCATCAAAGCTTCCATGGGTTTGAAATTTGAAAAAAAAAGAAGTAGAATTCCATGGGTGGAAGAAGAAAGAAAGATTCATTGCCCTCTTGTCGGGAGGGTCTTAGATGGAAAAGAAAGTCAACCTCCAATTTGATGAGAGGGAGGGTCGACCGACGAGCATTTTATGGCTCAGACGTTGGGGCAGCTTGACGCTGCATCCTTTCCCCCCCAGATAACGGTGCCCCGTGCACGCCACAGGGCCACAGCCACCTGGGGGGGTATTATTTTGATGTTATCGTTCAACATATAGGATTATTTATTAGCCATGACTATATCTACCCTTTGATCTTATAGTATCTCTAGACTTGATTAATACTTTGGCACTTCTAAGTGAATTAATGGTCTATAAGTTCATGAGATCTGTACGGTGACTGTCTTGTTTGTATCTTATTGTACACAAATCTCCGCTTAAGAATCAGAATATGGAGCTCCATAAATTGACTGATATCAAGCAAGTTTGGCACATGGTATATAGACGAGCAAATATCACACAAAGAACAGAGCTGGCATCAGTATGTACGTGTGTAGATAATGTAGTGGTGGCATGTGTGACGCGAAGTGAGACATATACAAACAAACAAGTCCAGAATGTACAGAATCGGAAAAGCACTTGTCTATTGAATGAATACCTATTTGAATTTTGGACAGCTTCTTCCTACACTAAAGTCTAGCCTCTTTCCCAGATTCAAAAAAAATCTTTTCACCGGTAACCAAGCTCTTCTGCAAAGCCGCGCCAATAACAACTGCCTTCACCGAGCTTGAGAGGGACACTGGAGGAGGCGTGTTATCCAAGCAGCTAGCAGTGAACTCATTAGCTTCCGTGAGGAAGGCCTCTCTGAAACGCTCATAGTAATGCTTGGGAAGATCACGTCTAGCTCCCTGACCATCGTGGATCTCAAGGTGGTTCTTCCGGCCTTGCATGTTCACTCTCAATGAGCCCTTCTCACAAATGACCTCGGTGGTATCTTCCTGTCCAGCAGCCATCATACGCGAACAGAAAAGGGTGGCAATTTTGCCACCGTCAAACTCGACCGTAGCTACCGCATTGTCACGGTCCTTGCTCGCATCCAATGCAGTGTGGACGGCAATGACTCCAACCGCTTGCAGACTTTTGAGATGGGTGGTCTCACCAAGGAACCACAACATCAGGTCAATATCGTGGATGGAGCAGTCGAGGAAGATTCCACCGCTGGTCTTGGCGTACTGCACGAACATCCCGGTTGTGTCGAGCATATCTGCAGTCTGGGATCTGAAGATCACTGGTCGGCCGTATTGGCCTGAGGTCATTCTCTCATAGGCTTCACGGTAGGAAGCATCAAAGCGGCGCGAGAAACCGCACATGACTTTCTGGTTGGGGTGTGTCTTGAGCGATGTGTTGTAGGCATCGAGAACGGATTGAGCCTGTTGCGGTTAGCATATGTCTTCATATAGGGAGCTTATATAGAACGACCTACAATCTTGACGTCAAGAGACAAAGGCTTCTCGCACATGACATGCAATCCCTTCTTGATAGCGGCAATGGCGTGATCTGCGTGGACGGCAGTAATTCCAGCAACCACTACAGCATCCAAATTCTCTTTCTCGAGCATTTCATAGTAGTCTGTATAGATTTTTGCTCCTGTGAGGTTTTCTTTTGCCCATACGTGCTCATTGAGATCAGGAGAGCTGGCTGCTACCACCTCGGCACGAGGAGTAAAAACGTGGTAGTTCAATGCATGTCGTTGGCCTGTTATGTGTCAATTGGAGGTTTTCGAAATCCGATTGGGGAACAATGCTTACCCATTCGGCCGAGGCCGGCGATACCGACGCGCAACTTCGGGGCTGACATCTTGAGACGAGGGGATATTTGAAGGAGTAGTAAGAGTTGAAGAATCTGAGAAATGCTTTCCAGTAGTCGCTTCGACAACAGCTTAGTCGGGGTTATATACACAATCGTAGTTTGGAGTGGATACAAGGCTTGGCCGGGAAAGGGAATCCGAGTTGAACTGGGACTTGCTATAACCGAGACTATTACTGCAATTGCATTATCGTGTCACTAAACTTTTTTGGTTACCTCAGAAACGCCAATGTCAAGATAGGCATATTGACAAGAAACAGAACAATTATAGCCCTCCTTTAGGCCATAAATAGAGATCATGGTTTTTTGGTCTAGTGGAATTCTTTCTACGAAGACGCCCCCTGGTCGCAAGAAAAGAATCTCATTGAGAAGTAGCTCAAATTAGCAAACTGCTTTGAAGATGAATTTGCTACGTAGACTTTTCAAGCGGCTTCACAGAGAAAAGCCCTCGGGAATGAGTTATGGATTAGCCGTTACCCCGCAAAGCTTATAAATAATTATATTCGAGATACCCGACAGCTGTTCATCATTTATACACATGTACAACATCTAAAGAAACCTATTCCAAGATCAAGCCGCAATCTCATAGTGCTCAGCATCAAGATTTTCCTTTTCGGTGTGTGCCAAATCGGAAATGACCTCTGTACGGGCTATCATGGTTGCCTCCGACCAGCTAATTGCTTTCCCAGCCTCATGTTTAATCTCAAAGAGTCTGTCAATCTGCTCAAGAGACAGGTTGGCGGTCTCAACATAGAAGTGCCAGATGATTGGCAGGAAACAGAAGTTGAATATGGCAAAAAGCATATAATACTTCCACTGGATGTTTGCGATGGCTGTTGGGGTGGCAACAACGATAACATAAACGAATAACCAGTTGGTAGTGGTCGCAAATGAAGTGCCAATATTGCGCATTTGCTGGGAGTTGATCTCTGCCGGATAGATATACGGGATCGATAAGAGCGACATGCCGTAGAAGACGTAGTAGACGAAGATGAACACCACGGCTAGAACAGACATACCCTTGTTGTCGGGTCCACCATACCGCAGTCCAACGGCAACAAGCGCAAAGCAGACGCTGCTACCAGCGGCACCGAAGAGCATCAATCTCTTTCGGCCAATGCGGTCAATGAGCAGGGCTGCAATACATCCCCAAAACATTAGCGACATAGAGTCAACGGCCGACAAGATCAGGGCCATTCTGTTGTCCAACCCAACTGATCGGGTCAGAACCACTGGTAGATAGTATGCAATGACGTTCGTTCCACCAACTTGTTGAAAAAAGGCAGTACCAGCTCCAAGAAGAATCCTGCGCAATGTCTGTTGCTTGTTATTGCGCTTGAAGATTGCCTGCAAAGGCTTCGATTGTTGGACTTCGGTTTCATGGTTCACGGCTATTTCCAAATTTTGTATCTCATCCACCACTTCCTGGTCGTCAATTGGCTTTGCAAGGAGCCGTGCTAGGATTTCACGGGCTTCGCTGCCACGGTGTTTCATGACCAGCCAACGCGGTGACTCCGGGGCGACAATAACAAAAGCGAGAGTGACAAGCGCGAAGAAACATTGGAAGCCCAGAGGGAATCGCCAGCTCACGGCAGAGTGAGGAATGAAAGTGAATCCGTAGTTCATCCACTGCGATAGGGAAAAAAATCAGCATTGCTCCAAGGTCTTGTACTGTGAACGAAGTAGCTTACATTTGTGATGACGATGCCGAAAATATTCGTTACCAACTGTGCAACGATGAGTTTTCCACGGTGCTCTGCCCGTGCAGTTTCTGATTGCCAAATAGGAATAGCAATTGTGTTCATTCCATTTCCAACTCCCGCAACGACACGACCGACAATCATCTGCGCAAGGGAATAGGATGCAGTTTGGAGAATAGCGCCGACGATCAGGATGCAGCACCCGATCAGAATTGTCCGTCTTCGTCCGAGTTTGTCTCCAGCGAACATCGTCACCAGAGTGCCTATTATGCAGCCAATGTCATAAGTCGCAACAATTTGACCTTGGATGGTCACGCCCGGATTTCCAAAGGTCTCGAGGAACGGCTCATTGTCCAGAAGCCCGCCGAAGACTCCCTGGTCATAGCCAAAGAGGAGGAAACCGGCACCGCAGGCTGCAGTGATTCTGTATTGAAGCCATTTCCCTTGTGCATTCTGGAAAAACATGATGAGCAGGGTTGCAATATCGCCAGTATACGATCTTAGCATGGACCACTCGTGTGCGGTTCATATCTGTATTTATATTCAATGAAATCTAAATTATGTGATAGGACTACACGGTAATCCTACTAATCATCTGAAAACCTGGGGTGTTACAGAAAACGTGGGGTCCCCCACACCGGGTTATGATTCCCGTAGAGGCGGTCTATTCCGGATTAGGTTAGAGCCAGCCCCGGTTTTACCAGCGATTGGTCCCCGGAAAAAGAAACGACATTTGCACGACATCTCGTTCGCCAACGAGGCTGTCGATCATGCATGATGTCATTCATCCTTTACTTATACGAGTATCCCCCACTTGAGGCCCCAGAAATACAAATACACGGGTCGATAGTGGTCCCCCTTTTGGTAGAGCCAATGAAATAGCAGCGAGAAGCTACGACGTATAGTTCGGATCAAACATTTCCCCTTTAGTATTACCCCGCACTATCCCTCCCGAGGTTAAGCCGCCCTCTATTTGCTAAGGGACGAGGATATTGCAAGCGCATAGTCTCATGGCATCCAGAAAAAAACATGCCAAAGCCCAGTGTCCCCCCAAAGAGGAGGCACCATGCCTCCATGGCATGCGTGTCATGTCGGGAAAGTAAGGTCAAGGTGACTATCAATTACCTCGGTGGGAAACAAAATGAAGCTAATGTCAGCAAAGTGTGACGGCGGTAAGCCCCAATGCTCCAGCTGCATGAACAAGCACCGCGAATGTCGATACCAGGCCGTAGACAAGAGAAAGTAAGTGACGCATCAAAAGTCATTTCATTAAAAGAAGGCTGCTGGCTAGGTAATAGTGCTGATTATGGATGTGAAGACTCCCACTCCGCGTTGCCATAGAGCTTCTATCAAGCAGAGTTGAACAGCTCTGTCTCTTCATCCACGAAAGTGGATTGGAGGCCCCGCCCATGCCACAAGAAAAGGACACTGCTTTGGCTAAAGTCCTTGATGTTCTTGGCTTAACTGAAGTTCATTCAGCCGCAAGATACAATCGAACTAACAGCAAATCCCCCAATCCAAACTCCCCATCTGCAAGCGATGATCTGCCTTCTGAGGCACCGAATTCTATGCCGTTCTCAGCTCCTGGTGTAGAAAATGATCTAAATACTTGGGCTCAGACCTCGAGATCACCGGACAACGCATCGCAAAATTCTCGGTCGAGTTTTACAATGCTTTCGGACCCTCACGCCATTTCGACACTGCCCATGGTCCTTGACACTGGGATCTCCATTGCAGAACAGTATCCACCAACTGATGATCACTCTGATAATTTATTGGCCAATTGGGACTGGACCTTGGACTTTGAGACATGCATTACGCCCCCATCTCCAGACATCGGAGACATTGGCGTAGAACCACTACAGCCGCCAGGGAAACCATTGGATAGGGTACCTGAGCCCTTTGAGTCCGCCGTCATTCAAAGCCCACCCAGCCTCGACAATGATTCCAGGAGCACGGAAGAAATTGAAGATCTTATCGACGAGATTTCTGATCGGATGGGCACATTGCGCTTTGGTCCTGGAGGAAGAGCTCGCTTCTATGGCCCGACATCGACTTTCAACCTTGCCGATGCTCCAGTATCTATCAACACTCAGACACATCGTATCGTCGATCATTTCGATGACGCAGAATATGATAGACAAGTCCCATTATCTCTCGAGGAGCATCTTCTTAATCTCTATTTTGCCTGGCAAGATCCTTCGTTCCACGTCGTCGACCGAGAATTGTTCGAAAAGGGAAAGACTGCGTGGGATGGGAAAGAAGAGACCCCGTTCTATTCCGAGGCACTCTGCTATGCAATGTGAGTCATTTTTTTGCCGACCAAATGGAAAGGTGAAATGACATTAGAAAATAGGTGTTCTCTCGGCGCTGCTTTTGAGACCCGTTATCATCCATCCTTTGTGACGTTCCCAAAGTCTCTCGGTGAATTCTTCGGGGACCGTGCAAAAGAACTGCTTGAAATTGAATTAGACTCTCCATGCGTGGCAACAGTCCAAGCACTAGTCATCTTGAGCAGCCATGAAATCGGTATAGGCTCAGATACACGTGGATGGCTCTACAGTGGTCAGTTCTGTCGAAATTTCTTGGTTTTCTTAGCTTACAATTCTAGGAATGGCCCTTCGGCTTGCTTTTGATCTTGCCTTGCATATCGACCTTTCTTCCTATGTTGCTCGTGGATCTGTTACCGCTGCAGACGCCGAGCTGCGTCGAACCGTTTTTTGGGCTGCGTATATGGTAGACCAGTGAGTTCCCATTCTGTTTTTGTACACGCTAAGGATATCATTAACTTTTCGAAATTCCAGCCTGGTCGGATTCTACCTTGGTAGACCTTTCTACACCAACATGGAGGATGTTACAGTCAAAAAACCCAATAATGACGTCGACTATCGAGAACCTTGCAAATGGACGCCCTACGCATCTCCCATCCCATTTGACAATGATTCCGGGTTATTTGACTGTGTGGGGGCTGTCAGTGAACAGGAAGTCTCCCTATGTGAACTTATGGCACCCTGCGGCTATTTTCTGTAGGTTTCCGTCCCTGTTTGCCGCTGTCGCTCGACATCATATAGTTGGGCTCAAGTGAGTTGCTTTAGCTAACTTTGGTCTCGAAACAGGTATGGAACGTCAGGTATTCCAAGAGCCTTGCTTCAACAGCTCAATGCAAATAATGTTGCCAAGCTTCTCAGTTGGAAAGCTCAGTTGCCTTCAGTTTTACAGATCGACCTTAACGATCACAGTTCTCCTTATCTTCCACATGTGTTGCTACTTCAGTGAGTTTCTATTATACCATTCAAAGTTCTAATAAACAACGTAAGCTAATTTACCCCAAAGCATGCAATATTACCAGAATCTCATCTACAGTCATCGACCCTGGATGTCAAAAGGCTACCTGCAACCACAACCTCCGAAGGGACCTGGGTTCACTCACGCTCGAGAAATGTGCATTAATTCCGCCATCTCCATTGCCAAAATCCTTGTATTGTACGAGACCAGATATACCCTCCGCCGCATAAACATTAAAGCAGTCTCAATTACATCCTCCGCCGTGCTACTACTTCTCTTCGCTGCCGTTTCCCAGTACCAAACTGAAGAAAACGAGAATATCATCGCTCATCTGAGTACCTGCTTCAGGGCCCTTGATGAGTTCTCTCTATCCTGGCAAAGTGCCAATCGTGCTAAAGACCTTCTGGTAAGGCTACAGCACAAATGGGAGATTCGTACCCGTGCTACTAAGCCGGACCGTGGACCCGATGGGGCTAGTTACCCCCCCAGAAAGCGATCACGAACACTTAATGGATCCGACTCCATAATCCCGAATAATGGAAGGTCTTTAAGCACACAGCCTGAGACGCGCGATTTCCAACTCGAGTCTGGGTTGGGCTGGATGCTCATGCTCAGTGGTCAGCTTCCGTCGGATGGGGATGAAGATCTCTATTCCTTTGTTGCAAATGCAGGTATCCCAGAATCTGAAAATGAGACTAGATAGGCCTGCAATGTTAGAATATATTTATTTCAGATAAATCGCATTATTTGTGCCTGCTTTCTAAGGTATCAACTTTCCCAATGCGGAATAGTCCCAGTGGAGTCAACCAAGGTTAGAACCCCGGACTTGCTGACTAATATATTTTCCCCTCCGCAAGTCTTGAGGGTTACATGTACCGTAATCATTCATCTTTTCGAGAGCGCCGTGATGGTGTTGAAAAAATGTTCCATCTGTTCGCGGGTGTTCAAAAAAACCGAACATTATAAGAGGCATGAGCGGTCGCGTCAGTTACGTCGAACCCCTGCAAGAGCAATCTAACATACAAAACAGACACTAAGGAACGCCCATACGAATGCAATGTCTGCCACAAGCGTTTCTCTCGAAGGTAAATTCCATTGAAGGCACATGTGAATTGTAACATATTCAAAATCCTATGTTCAAATACCTAAATTTAATGAGCATACAGCGATGTCTTGAGCCGACATGCCAAGGGCCACAATCAAGCCAATGCGACAGCCGGTCCATCGGAAGCGTCAAATCGACAGTCATCAGTAATTGCGGATGCATCATTGATCCCGGGACCAGGAAATGGTTTTATCGGCGCAGAAGCACAGATTCCACCTCTGTCTACCACTTCGCGAGATGCGCATCTCGCATCAACTGGGCTCCCATCATCACTAGATTACCTAGCTGACATTTCAGCCCACCATGGCCGCACCGAGCCAGATCTCAATATGATGATGATCGATGACCAGCAGCAGTACTTTGGATGGAATGCAGTCACATCGGCAGATCATGTGTCGCACCGAGCTGGCTCGGCCTTCGACCCTGGGCCAAAAGACATGCTACAAATGTGGCTTGAACCACGCACAGCTTCGGCTTCAATTGACTCGCTAGATCTGATGCGCGATAGCCATTTTCCACTGATCGGTGACAATTTGAATCTTACTTCAGGCCAGCAGAATCGACATTCAGTCGACAGCAGCGATAGCATTCCTAATGAACGCTTCGCTAGAGTTCAGCAGTGCTGGCTAGCACCACCGAATACCGGGCGTCTTATTAACAGTTTATGGCGGGATATCGTCATGTCGCCGGTTGATAATATTTTCTCCGTTCAGTCATTACACCCTCCCAATGAGGCAAGTGCTGTTGAAGGATCCCGGTATGGATTCGACGAGAATTGCAGACGGCGCCTTTATGCGGCTTTTGGACCGATGACTCTTTCTGCGCATATGCAGTCACCCCCAGATAGGAATATTCCTCCAGCCACGCCTGTCTCGACATTGAATTACTCTGATTTCCCTCCTGCTGAGATTTTGGATATGGCACTAGATTTATTTTTCCGTATCTTTAATCCCCTCTTGCCATTTGTCCATCTACCAACCTTTTCGGCAAATAAGGTGCGACCATCTCTACTATATGTTATGACGCTGGTTGGCATGACATTACTTGGCACGAAAGGAACAACTGCGTTTGTGTCCAGAAATTTCTCAGTAGGTTCAACTATTGTTAATCGCGTCATATATGCAGGTAGTTTACTGACAGTCATTAGGGCACTTTGGAAAAGGTAACAGCTGAATTTGCCCGATGCTCAATGGGACTTGAGAGCGCTTCTGGCACCGTGACATTGTTTGCGACAGTTTTGCTCTTATTAAACCTAGCTGGCTTGACCGGGGTATGAATTCCTTAGCCCAAGTTTGCTGAACTCGAGGTACTAATCATTGTCATCCTGCAGGAAAAAGTACATCTAGAACAGTGTCAACCTCTTTATATCAATGTCATGTCTGTGAGTTGGAAGAGAACCTTCTTGTTTTCCTCTATCGATGTGACTCTAATGACAATTATGCAGGTCGCCCAAAGACATGGTCTGTTTTCAGCCACTGAAGGACAGATTCTTGACATGACTTTGTTCGAAACGGTTCCTGATAATGAAATGAGATGGAAAGCCTGGAGCAAGGTCGAATCAACTAAGAGGTATGCCAAAATTCCTACTTATATCGCACATCACTAATAGTCTTCCCAAGAATAATCATTGGATTACTGCTCCTAGACTCTTGGTACTCCTCGTTCCTCTCAACGGGTCCAATCACAGTCCCAGACTCAATCCAACTCATCCTCCCCTGCAGCGAAGCTCTCTTCAGCGCCAGCTCCTCCATCCAATGGAAACACCTAATCCGTGGCGGAAAGCGCATTCTCTCATCAACGATCCTCGCCCCATCCGAAAACATCAACATCCCCACCCTAGAAGCTCCCGCAGATGACTTCTGTATACAAGCAATACTAGCAATAGTTCAGCTCCGCCAGTCAGAAGCCTACCACCGCCTCCTCTCCAATAGAGCCAGCTACCCCTTTGCTCCATGTCACACCTACGCCATGGACGGCCGAGCCAGGTGCCTCCCCTCCCTCCAATCCCAGCTCATCACAAACTACAGCGAAACCCTCGATCGCCTCAATCCTAACGCTCTCATTACGTGGCACAACATTTGCATGACTCTCACCGCCGATATCCAAATATTCGACCTTGCAGCTGGCCGTGCAGGCCCAAATCCTGCCCGTAAGGCGCTTGACGATATCCGTGAATGGTCGCAGACACCTGCCGCCAGACGCGCGTGTTTGCACGCTGCACAAATCTACAAAGTCATGACAAACCGCAAAGCTTCTGACCATCCCACCTTCCAATCTATGTTTTCGCTCTTCTCGGCTGGATTAGTGCTCGGTCTGTATACGTTCATGGTTCCGGCCTCTACTAGTTCGCCGTCTAGTGTCGGGTCTGTGGAGTTGATGGATGATGTCGACTGGAGATCAGTGGGAACGGAGGGATTCACTAGTTTCATGGAGCCTAGGGGAAGTCAGGCTCTCGCGCCGACGGATGATCCCGCTGTTAACTTCATTCGCAACGGGGCTACTATCTACTTGCGAGGACTGCCGTTCCACGGTGGGTATCAGTTTGCGCGTCGAATCCTGCTTGATTATGCATCTCTTCTCAAGGACTCTGGGAAGTGGAGCGTCAAAAAGTTCTCGTATATTTTATACATAATGAGTGATGTTCTCATGGACGTCGAATAAGCATGTGGCTACCTCACAGCATTATGCGAATTGAAGATAAAACATTCTTCTTTAAATTCTATATGGTATCATACCATCACTTATTAATGAATTTGAGTTGATGATAAACAACTAAATTGACAGCATTATCTTCTGTCAGAATATAGCCCTATGATCGATCGGTCGAAATAAACTACATCTATCGAGATAATATTAAGCCCCATTCACCCTTTTACGAGACAACCGTGGAGCATCGCCTAGAACGCGCTTAGTATCAAGCGTCTCCTTACCGGCCATAATCTCCTCCCAATGCCAATCAGCAAGCTCAGCTGCACGCCACAGAATATGAACATGTACGAGCTCGGCATTTCCGACGACGGGCAATGAGAGACAGCATGGCCGAATATGATGCTGAGGCACGGATGTAATAGTGGCTACTCCAGATCTGCACTGCTCAGCCATCAGACGCATCATGCTCTCGCCGCTATTGGGCCTAGTTCGTCCGCCAAATTTGCTGAAGTCTACCGTCACCCAGTGGACAAACTCCTTCGTGTCGATCTCTGCGATGTTGGAGCCATCGGGGCGGGAGAACATACCTGGTTGGATCATCTTCGTTCAGGTGAGAAGTGTGGATTTAGATGAGCTTGAGATGACTCGAGATGTGCTCACTATGATATGGTCAGGTTAATTGATGGGATTTATGGTCAGTTAAATAGTAACTCCAGTTCATGTCGAGTCTTTGTTAGAAACTGAAACAATTGTCTTCACTCTTCTTTCATAAGGGGTTTCCCTTTGCCCCCTTTGTCTATGTATAGTCAGAAACTAGCGGTCATTTTCATTCGGACTTGCCTTTCTTCTTCTTAGATGTCAAATGATGAAAGATGAGAATCTATGGTTTGATATTCCTATAGTTCCAGGGTCGCATACTTTTGAGTTCCAATATATGGGCCTCGGGATCACGCCCGATGTCATTCCCGAGGTCATTCCCGAGGTCGGAGGTCGGATGTTCCTACCAAAGTCACACTTCAGGGCTCCTTCCTTGCAGGCTGCTGGTCAATTGCGCCCTCCCGATATGTCTGCACGTGCCCTGCTTAAGCAGCAATTTAAGCTTATAAATAAGCTCCCCACTCGCTGCTTTTCCAGCACCCGACCCACCAATGCGGACTTCACCCATGCGGTATAGTGCAACCTAGGTAGATCCAAGACAGACACAAGGCTAATCTGATTGAAAGGTAATTGGCGCAGGCGTCGTCGGCCTCGCGGCCGCACGGCAACTTGCAGCTCGCGAAGGCACCTCAACCATTCTACTAGAGCGACATGACGCACCAGGGACAGAGACGAGCAGTCGCAACTCCGAGGTATGCAATCTCCACAATGAGCCCACCTGAACAGTTTCCAATAAACCAACACAACCCAAACAAACTAACAGCAACCCCTCGCCAACTAGGTAATTCACGCAGGCCTCTATTACCCAGCGACCTCCCTCAAAACTCAGCTCTGCATCCGCGGCCGCAACCTCCTCTACGACCTCTGCGCACAGAACAATATCCCCCATCGCAACACAAAGAAATGGATCGTGGCGCAAAACCCTACTCAGTGGGAAGCCTGTCTGAAATTGCACGCGCACGCACAAGGACTAGGCGACGCACCAACGCGGCTAGTGGGACGTGACGAAGCGCAGCAGCGCGAACCAGACGTCAAGGCAGACGCAGGCATCGTCGAGAGTGAGACATCTGGCATTGTGGACAGTCACTCTCTGATGACTTACCTGCATGGCGACTTTGAGGACCGCGGAGGCGATGTTGCGTTCAAGACACGCGTGACAGGTGTGGAGGCTATCGACGGCGGCCGCGGCGGGTATAAGATTACCGCTGTCTCGGATGAGGATGGCTCGGTTACTTCTTTTACCGCCGAGACGTTGGTTAATAGTGCTGGCCATGGCGCGTGCGATATCAGTAACATGCTCCTCCCAAAGGAGCGCCATTTCGTTCCGCATTATGCCAAGGGCACGTACTTTTCGTATGCGGCTTCCAGGCCTAGGACTTCGGTTTTGGTATATCCGGTGACTTTGCCCGGTACTGGTGGACTGGGTACGCACCTGACTCTTGACATGGCTGGACGCATTCGCTTTGGGCCGGATGTTGAGTGGGTGGATAGTCCTGATGATTTGGTGCCGAGTGCTGCGCGTTTGGAGCAAGCGCTGCCGGAGATCAAGGCTTATATGCCTGGTGTCGACGTTAGTGCTATTGCGTTGGATTACTGTGGTATTCGCCCTAAGTTAGGGAGGAACGGTGCTGTCAATGAGGGTAAGGGGTTCCAGGACTTTATTATCCAGGAAGAAGAGGGTCTTCCTGGTTTTGTCAATTTGTTGGGAATTGAAAGCCCTGGCTTGACGAGTTGTTTGGCGATTGGTGAGATGGTTGATGGTATTTTGTACCGTTAGCTGCCTCTGTTATCTCGCATTTTGGTAATTAGTATATGATTTGGACGGTATATAAGAAAAATTTATAGAGAACGCTCGATATAGGCCATTGATTAAACCATTCCTTCATTGTTCTACACAAACTCTAAGAAAGAGCATGGTCTTGGACTTTCTAAATTTAGATACAAGAAGTGATCATCGATGCTTACGGATCACTTAAATCAAAGGTATGAGGTTGGTGTGGTGATGGGGAAATTTGAGTTGTTCTTTCCTGACATGGAAGGCTCGGGAGTTCGCTTGAAGGTGAGGTGAGGGATCTATCAATCTATGTCAAGTGTGCTAGAATGAAAACAACGTCCAGGAATGCAAATTAGAACGAGACTCTCTCAGTCACAAAGACTGAATCAATAAAAACAAGACACAAAACCTCATGTGCAGTTTGCAAGGCAAGAAATAACAGCACCGGTACTCCATGGCGGAATGAAGAGCAAAAGAAAGAAAGCAAACACGACGCAAAGTATGAACATGCAAAGCTCACTTCGAAATCAACGTCCAGCGTCTATACAAATTCTCAAACACCAATAGTAACACAAGTCCCGAGCAGGAATAAACAAATCATTTCAAGCCAAATCCTTCGCTATTTACAACTGCATCCCAGAGCAGCCGCTGGAACTTCCCCCGTGTGGGGTAGCGGTAAAGGCCCAGCGTGTTGAAACATGTACGCGCAATCGGGTAACGAGGACAGTCATCCCCAAGACAAGCAAGCCGGATAATAAGGCTTGTAGCCCCCATGGCAGGGATCCGATCGCTACCAGTAATGAATGACAAGATCTTGCGCTGTGCTTGAGGGTCTGATTTCTCCAAGAAGTCCCAGAACCAGCGCACTACAGGGACTGATTCTGGTCGTGGGTGTGACCAGTTGTCGTAGGTGGCCACCGCCCGGAGAGAATTGACATCGAGTGGTTCATCTGAGCCGCGGACTAGCATTTCGATCTCTTCTGGTCGGAATAGTGATAGTGCATTGCCGCCGCAGACCGTGAAGAAACCGCGTTTGAAAGGTTCGAACTGTCGAGCCACGGCTGTGTCTAGCAGATATTGGACATACAAATCCACAAACTCACGCTTGTTGGAGTTGGTCACCGGTCGGTTCTCGCCATTTGCACAGAGTGGCACACTGATAATCTCGCCGTAGCGATCGACCTGGGCAACGAAATCGTAGCAGAATGTCTCCGCGACATTGCCTTCGAATTCTAGCAGACCCCGGAGTCCTTTGGCGAGAGCTGGCCGGTACTCGGCAAGATCTTCTAGGGTGCATTTGAAGGTCGAACGCAAGGAAGTAGCCAGTTGTGGCCCGTTGGCATGCCCCGCTGACGACAGCAATTTCTTAAACGCAAACGGCGGGAGACTAACATCAAGGATGGTGGAGTTGTAGATGGCGAGACCTAGAAGAACCCCAACCAAGAAGAATTGTTCGGATGACTCAAAGCAATAAGGATTGAAGTAGCAATACTGCGAATCGTCATCGTAGATGAAGAGGCCTATTTTGAATTAGCGAGTCATTTCACTCTAAGATCGGAAAACGCTGACCATGAAGCGGGTCAAAGACCTCTCGAACAAGCAGCAGAAACCATTCCTTCCGCAGGCCGCCAGCATCAATGCCTTCTTCGCCCGAAAATTCGATCCGGAGACCCTTTTTGATTTCTTCTTGGCCAGTACCAACAATTTCACTCACTCCCTTCAGGCTGTCTTCAATCAAACACTCACGCCGTACCTTCAACACCAGGTACTGACTAACCGCCGTGTGGTTGAGGACGCTGTCGAAAAATGCATCGCGTGCTTTCACTTCCATTTGACGACGCGCATCATGCTCCATGATATGAATTTTGGCCCAGATGCTAAGGAGGAACGGATACTGACAGAACGAAAACTTCGAGACTTTAGCCTCCCAAGTCTCGAAGTCCGCCACTAAATCCGAATAGTCCAGCAGTGTATTGTAGAATGCACTGATTGGAATCATATGTCCTTGACGAGGGCCTGGGTTCTTGGGAACTTCAAGACTGCGCGGAGTTCCATCAGACTTCCTCGTTGCAGAGGAGATGTTAGCCGTGAAGAACAGCGACATTACTCTTGCTGCTGCTCTGATCTGCCAGTCCTCGGCGTATATTATGGGGTCTTCGGTCTTTTTGCCAGGCTTCTTGTTCGGGCTACTTCGATTAATCGCAGCGTGGAGTTCCGCAGCAGTATTTCCCGAAGCACTGGCAAAGCTCGGTATTAGATCATCTCCGTTTTGAGGATTTTGAGGGCGTTTTCGCCCATGCTGGCGACTCAAACGGTAAGTGAGAAATCCACCGATAAGTTCTACCAGTCGCTCGAAATGTCTAACAGAGAAACGGGAAGCCCAAGACACGATGTAGTGATGGCAGTCATTGGGCAAATTAGACGCGAGTCCCAGGATTCGTTTGATAATTCCATAATGGTGACTGGAGCCATCTAGACGAGCAGGGGCTTTGTGCGGCTCTTTCTGCAAGGGTTTTCCGTCTCGGGTTGCCGATTTCAGGTAGTCTTTTGGATGCGATGGGCGCCTCTCATCTCGATGAGACGGCGAGATGGATGTATTCTGATAATAAGACGCAGGTGAAGACAACATGGGATTCGCTAACAATATGAACAAGAACCTGGTATCTTCTGGTTTCTTCAGAACACGGCGCGGGCGTTTGAGGAGGCCCTCGGTAGCTTTCAAGAGTGCCCGTTGTAAGTGCAAACGAGACTCGCTGACTTGTCTTCCGATCAAGGACGGATCAATAGACGCCCATCTCTTGGCTCGGATCAGATCCGCTTCTGATCTTGTGGGGTCAGGCTTTTTGGCGGCCCAGAGCTCATTCCAAGAATTTCCCGCGGACAGGATCGAATGGTACCACTGGGCTAACTCGGACCAGTTGATCCGAGGACTTCGCGATGATATCATCCGAGACTTTGGGGTGTTCTTCTCTTTGGAATATGCGGGATTTTGGCCTTCGGTCTCAGCCCATTCATTCATCCACCAAGAGGAGTTCTCAGTCAAATCTCCTAAAAGAAGAGTTTTGGCATCTGGTTCAAAAACTGGAGCGTCTTGCGCTGGTTGGGGCATTGTGGTCGGTTCCATCTTCGTTTTCGGTGGATTACCATTACTAGCTGCTCGGGCTGACCGAGGTGGTGGATATGTAGTGAAAGATTCGTTGAGGCAGTCACAGCCTTTGAAGGCAGTGGCGATGGTATTTTCCAGCCGTTTGAAAATGTGTGTCCGATTGTCGCAGCTTTGAAACTCCGGGTTCCCGGCTTGCGAAACGTCTTGCGTGCGGCTGTCTAGCTTTGGAGTTGATCGGAGATCTGAATTTGCTCGGACTCTGACAGGCGTGTCATTGCCCTCCCAGCGAACAGATGGTGGTGTCAAGTAACCTGAGTTTTCTTTTGACGCCGCCAACCTTTCCCGTTCACTAGAATGGGAAGCACTACGACTCCGAGAATCGCCAGTGCGTGGGGGCGAGAGATTTTTTGGACCAGAGGCATGATCCTGCATTGGCGGAAGATTAGGTAGCGGTTTGTTCTTTCTGTCGTCGTCCGGCGACAACCATGACCGAGGGCTATTGTCCAAAAGGCTATCGAAATACATGTTGAGACACCCCCCGACCATACCACGAATTTGATTGGCCGTCAAAGGAAACACTAGGTAGCAAATCAGTATCTTTTACAAATATATGACGCAAAACTAGCATCTGGAGGTGTTACCTTTGCTTGCCAAATTGGACGCTCCACCCTGAGACCCTTGTGGGGGTTTGTCTTTTGAATCATGAGAAATCGGCTCGAGGTCTGTGATCATCAAGCAGTCGGTACATCTAAACACCTTCAAGTGCCGTGGCCACCGGACGGTAGCATCACAAGTCTGACACTTGCCCTCGGCGAGATCATTTCCAGGTGCTGCACCTTTCCGGGGACTTGACGACTCTGGCTCCAAGGGATATGTTACCTCATCGTCGTCATCATCGTCAGAGTCCCAAGTCGCATACTTGGCGACTGTCTTGTCCCGTTTTCGCCCAAACCCAGCGAACGGATTGCTGATCGAGCGTGAATGTCCTCGGTGGTACGAACTCTTGGGGGTACCGCCGTTTAATGGGGGCATGATCGAAGCATCGCGAGGTCGAGCCATACGGCGTGGATTGATTTCCAGTCCAGAAAATTGGGAAGGGTGTATTCCAGGGATGGCGGCGTTGCCAGCACTTGAGATCGGAGGGATAGGCAGATGACGTTCAGGCCGGGACGGCATAGAGGCGCATCAATTTGATGTGATTTGATTTGATCAAATTCGACCTCTCCAGTATGTAATCCAGCTCGTGGAGCTTGTCCTTCGTACCAAACACATACGTGGAGGACGGGAGGACGGAGTGGGGGTAAGGCAGTCGAGTAAAGCGAGCTTTGCTTCTTTGTTTGATAAATGACAGGTTGGTCTATTGCAGAAATGGACCTTCAGTAATCTAATCAAGTCTCACCGAGCAAATAACTATCTTACCTCGGACTCTATTATAGAGTGATGGATCGTTACAGCAGTTCATAGTCTGTAGACGGATTGGGAAAGAGGCCGGGGGGGGCAGTGGTCCATGCCTAAGGCATTAAAAGCCTATTTTTAGATTAGAGACCTGAAAGTTCGGGCTACGGGTCTAATTTCGTAACTAACTAGTTAGAACAACGCACATCGATGATCGTTACACGATAACAATTAAAGACAGCCTTAGCGTATAAAGTCTGAATATGTATTATGTGCACTAGACTACTTTCTAGCGATCCACTGAGGTACGATCTAACGGCGACTGGCCACCGCAAGTCCAGCGGAGTACACCACCCGCAAATGTTGAAAATCAGTGATATGCATACATGCATACATAGAACTAGTAAAAAGTAGCACTAATTCAAGACTACACTTTCTACAATGCCAGTACCATTGAGCTGAACCAGTCATACTTCGTTAATAAGGGAATTGAAACATAGAACAAGATGGCTTTTTGGCTAACAACAGAACCGACTGGTCTGCATTAAAGTTGAGCCCAGCGTGGAAAACACTGTCTGGGAAAGAAGTGTTTGAATAAATGACCACATGCCGTAACCAATATTTTCCAACCGAAACCACTGGGAAAGTGCACTACCGCACTTAACGGTAACGCCAGTAGCTCTGGGTGTTCTGGCGCTTCCAGGTGTGGCGGCGACCAGCCTTGGTGTTGTTGTAGCGGTGACCCTTGTTGATACCACGGGACTTCTTGCCGGTGGCGGTAAGGCCACGGGACTCACGGTGCTAGAAAGGGGGACCTGATCAGCAAAGCTCGCGGGCAACACAGTCAAATTTCGAGCCAAACTTACCTTGTGAACGGGGTTACAGATCCAGTTGATGCGGGCATCACGGCGGATGGCCTTGTGCTGGGGATCGACAAGGATAACCTCGTAGTACTTGTAGGTGGAGTCCTGGTTGATCCAGTAGGAGTTCAGGACGCGCAAGTTAGCAGCGCGGCGGCCAACACGCTCCTCAGCGGTGGACTTGAGAGCACGCTGGTACTTGAGCTGGTTGACACCGTGGTTGGTGGGCTTGCCTGTTCACATAATCGCACATTAGCTAAAAAAATTCCTTCAATTCCCTCAGATCTCTAGGAAATCTGCTCTCGACAGGAAAAATTCGTACCGTAAGTGGCACCCTTGGAGACAGGGCGTTTGCGGCCACCGCGGCGGACACGGGCACGGTAGATAACGTAACCCTGCTTGGCCTTGTAACCGAGACGACGGGCCTTGTCGGGGCGCGAAGGGCGCGAGGCACGGTGGATGGCGTTCAGCTGGCGGAGCTATATTATGCACTCTCAGCAATGTTCAACGAGTGTATAGCAAGACACATGAAGCCCGAAAGGGTTTTCTTGCGTGCCACAATCATTTCCGCCGAATGACTTTGTTCGAGCCGCCTAGCAATACCACATAAAAACGGCATATCCTAAGGCAACGCACACCAGTGCTCGGCGGAGATGTTAGGCAATCGGGGGCGAAGGGATTTATCTCACCTCCCAGCATCGGACGCGCAGCAGGAAGCGAATCACATCGGACTGCTTCTTCTTCTGGATTTCTTCCACGTACTTGAGGGCACCCATCTGGACGGTTATAAGTCAGAGAAGTGCACTTGCGGCGGAGATTGTATTGAAAAAAAAATGCTAACGTACCTTGTCGGCTGTACGATGTCGTCGGTTGTCGTTGTCGCAAAAGTTCGAGGAAGAAAAGGTCTGGAGGCAGAGGTTGTGTGTGGGACGCTAGCGATTAGCGAGTTGACCCACCAGGGCCAATCACAGTGTGAGCTTCCTCTTTGCCTTGAAAATCAGGTGTCAGCATCATCTGCCTGCCTCAGGCTGAAAATTATTCTAATTTGGTAATTACATGTCCTAGTGATGAATGGTCTGAGCAATATTGAATGAAAGTAAAAGGATAAAATAGGAAGAGGCCTTCTTATGACCAGGATTAAAACAGGCATACTAGAAGCACCATCTTCAAGGACAGAGACCGGGTAAGTGGCGACTGATCTTGTAATTCCATAATTGGATAATTTTGTTTAAATTGTTTGATTTGATACAATCACTATCAAAACATCATACAAAAACATCAAGATCGTCAAATCGCCTCGCTTAGTAAATGCAACTAGTAATCCTCGCTCTCTCCATGCTGGCATAATCTAAAAGCACGCAAAAGCAGTCTCCCGTGCTGCATTCAAGGGCGTCTCGAAAGATGCTCTCGTTCGACCATTTCATTCGTCACAGAGATATAGTATGATCCTGCTGGCAAAACGCTCTTCTTGCATAAGGGACAAAGGCAGCAGTTCTGGGTCAGGAATGGATCGATACACGCTGAGTCGAATATGTGTCCGCAAGGCAGTTCGCGGACCGTAGATGACCCAACAACAAAATCGTCGAGACAAATAGCACAAGTCGTTTGAGTATGGCTCAGACGGTACTTGCTTCTGCAAGTATCGTTCTGTTTAGGCTTTATCATCGCTGCTTCGGGTTTCTGGAGGCCAGCATCGTCCTGGGCATGGTTGTTTTCCTTGAGCCATAGCGAGTTGATCTTGTCTCCAGAGCCATGCTCGATTGGATTGGCCGATGTATTATCTTGTGGCAGCGTTGCTTCTGTTGGAGGGATGATCTCCAAGTATGTATAACGTGGCATTTTGTTAACCACCTCTTGAGGAGCCGTCATTTGGTTCAATGCCAAGGCCTCGATGTCGACTTGACCTGCATTAACACGTCTCTGCAGCTGAGCGCGTCTCTTACGCAGGACAAATCGATAGATAATGATCAGGAGGATACTGAGTATAAGAACTGTTCCTGCAATTGCAAGTACGAAACTCCAAACGCTCGTCGACGCCCCTTGTGTTTCTTCGCCTGCGATATGTGAGTATAGATTCGAAAGTAACGCATTTATGTGACCTACCAGTCTCAATCCTAGCAAACAATCGGTTTGTCTTCGTCTGTAGCGCAAAATTTTCGGTAGAGTTGTCTCTCTTGTCTTCGGGTGTCTTATTTGAATACCACGAGAGATCATTGATCAATGTAGTTCCAGCTGGGCCAGGAATGGCGTACACTGGGTAATCGTTGTCCATTCGCCATTTATCTCCGTCACTGGTTGCCCAGCGAGAGTCGTTCGAGTCAGGTGGTATGCCGGTCTCGTTATCTGACGGCTGGAAAAAGATCATAGCGTGCGTGCCAACCTTTTGGGCGGCTGAGAGGAACGATAGCGAACATTCGGCAGTTACCCATGGAGCAAGGCCAACGAGGGAGTATCCGAAGTCAGACACATCTTCATATCGGGTCACATTTGACGGCACGGACGAAGCAGTAATGTCATAGCACGGATCATGCGGCTCTAGACTGGGTACAAACAAGAGGCCTGATACCAATCCATCCTCGGGGATGCCATTGCTCGATATTGTTTGAACCTTATGGTCGAGAACAAACCGATAGGCGACATTCTCCTATGTAATTATGTGAGTTAGAATCAGCCCCAAATGCTGTTGTCGGCTTTTAATGAAGAAGGCAGACTTACTTCGACTGACGAGGTGGAATTCGAAGCTTGCCCTGAACCTGCCCAAAGTGTAGCCACTTTACCCACCGAGTCATTTCGCGTTGACATGGTAGCAGCTGACATAATATATCTGATCTTGGGTCAAGTGAATAATGAAGGTGACTGTCAAGTAAAGTATATACTATGAGTCTAAATGCTTCAGACCCGCGGGGAAGGCGTAGGGGAAACAAGTTGAATATGAAAGAGTTTGAAAATGGCAACCACTATGGTTCTATGCAAAGTCATTTAAGACGACGCTGAGCCCTGAAGCATCCCATACATCCCCATTGCTGTTTAGAGCTCTACAGCGGAAGAATGCGAGAGTCAATCGGGACCGTCACAAGAATGTAGAACAATACTGGTTCCAACCACGAGGCAAGAGGCAAAACGGCTTGGCTAAGATACACTGAGTTTCACATTTCGAAGATATCTCCGGGAACGAGTCAACAAATGGAAATGGCCGAGCGCGTGGTCTATATCGTGTACTTCGCTAAACATGGCCGTTCACGGTAGACCGTTTGAGGAGATGATCATCAACAGGCAACTTTCCAACCTTTTACACTTGACATTGGGATTTAACTAGCGAGACTGTGTTATAAATAGTAATTATTCAACGCTTGCAACAATTCACAAAAAACACATGATTTGCTCTGCCTCATCCCTCAGAATGTCGGAGTAGCCGATATCGGGGCTCCCTCCGCAGAACTGTAGGAATGTGTATCAGATTTCAACCTCAACCACATTCTTGGGCGGCTAGACCATGTGTGAGCCATCAAGTGGTGAGGTGCAAGCTGTATATACAGTGCAAAAAATTTGAATAAGCTCAAAGGCAAAGTTCCATAGCCAAGTGCTCAGGAACCAATGAATTGAAGATGGAGCACGTGATGATACATGTCGGATCGCCATCACGTGCATATTCTGGCCGACCGCCAGCGACCGCCAACCATCATCACCTCTAGAAAGTCTAATTCATCCATGATCGAGAGATTGTGTCTGCTTTAGCTTATGATCAGGCAACTTTAGGGGACATTCAATCTCCTTTCATTATTATTCGCTCACAGTGACCGACGACAGCATGTGTCTGTCTAGTCCCATCCACACCTCCTAGGAACCTTTCTGTCAACCAATCTCTCTCTTCGTTGATACTGCTGTCTTTGGTATCTTAATCAATTCATCTCTTCTTTTCGCTTCGTCCAATCATCGGTCTGAAGAAATACCATGCCATCCGCATACAAAGGCAAAGGCAAAGGCCGCGATGCGCGCCAGTCGCGTAGCCGCAATACCACCCCGTCCAGCGCTAGTGCTCCCGCTATCCCATCACTACCTATCCAAAGCTACTTAGAGAACGATGTCACCAAGCACATTGACTTGGCTAGCGTGCAGTACTCCGATGTGTTGGACCTGGTCTCCGCGCAGAACATTCCAGATTCAAAAACACTGGAGGCATTGGTGGAGCACCTGAAGGGTCTTAGTGACATGGCCGATCTTCGAGGCGAGGTTTGCAATGCCGGAATGCGCGAGATGTCTCAAAAGCGCAAGGAAGTGGACGATCAGGAGCTTGATCGTGAAGTTCGAGATCGCTCGAAGTTGAAACGTGAAACCGAAGAGGACGACGATATTCATAAGGGCGGGAAGCTGAAGAAGCGGAAAGAGCGCCCAAGTGGAAAAGAGGAGCGGCCGTTAAATCATGGCGCACATGAGGTAGCACGCCAGGATGGAGCTGAGACTAAGGTTGAGGGAGGTAAGAAAAGATCCAACTCGGCGCTTTCTTCCAACTCTTTGTTTTTACCGACCCATCTCCACAACTTGATCTTCTTTCACTTTCCCCACCGTTCAGCCTTCGCTAACTACCAACAGCGGCTTCTCCAGCATCGAAAAACTCCAAAAATGCGATATCTGATGAAAGTTCCTCGCTTTCACCTCCATCGATGATGTCCCCCAATGGCACAACCACTGCTGTTGACGGCCCTCCCCCCGGGACCCCCGGGTCTGAAACCAGTGCCGATTCCCACCAACCTGAACCTCAACCTGCGATTCCTCAGGTGCAAGTCTTTGGCGATAACCCGCTGAAGTTTGACGACCCCACCATCTACAACATTCGAGATGTTCTCCCAGGCATGACGGACGATGATAAGAAAGAGATTTACAGCGTTTCTCACTTCCCTAAGACCGATCTTGCTCATATGGCAGCGGGTGTGGCTCCTGATAAGGACTTCAGCAATGCCAAACCTTCCAACCAAGTCAGCGCGAATACTTTCCAGACTTACATTGAACCTTACGTCCGGCCTCTTACCGAGGAGGACATTGCCTGGTTAAAAGAAAGGGTAAGTCAATTGTAGCTACTTTCAGTCAGCACAAGCTGACCTGTCACAGGGTGATCGCACTACCCCGTTCATCATGCCCCGCCGCGCAAAGAAAAACTACCGTCAAATTTGGGCGGAGGAGGATGGAGTGTCATACGACTCGAGTCAAGATGACAAGGACCAGCTGCCTTTGAATCAAGGCCGTGGCAGCATTGAACAGCTGACTGACGATAAAGCCGAAACCAACGAAGTCTCGGTTGGACCTCTCCTCAGCCGCCTCTGCTCTCTCCTCCGTTACGAGCACCGTACCTTTCCCGAGGATTCCAATCCAACCGCAAATGGGGATACTGCGAGTGTAAGTGGGCTGGATAAGGACGCAATGGACATTGATCAACCCACCGTTGAGAAGGAGAACAAAAGCGAAGTCAAGCCTCTCCCTGCTGCAACCACCTTCCGCGACGCAGATCCAAACGACTTCAAAACCTCGGTCGCAAAGCTGGATCATGCCCAATTGGACGAACGCGCCAAAGCCGAATTGCGATTCATTGGTTTCCTCGGTGCAGATGATAATCCAGACTACGACGCTCACTACGATGATGAAGTTGCTGAGCGACTCCGCTTACTCCAAAACGAGCTCAAGAGGCAAATCGTCACCAACAATGCTCGCAAAGCTCGCATTCTAAAGATTGCCCAGGAGCACATGGCCATGCTTGAGTTTACTACCATCCAAGACGACCTCGACTCTCAGGTCCAACAGGCCTATCTCAAACGCACCCGCACTATGGGCAAAAGCAAGAAGGGTGCTCAGCCCAAGCATCGGCCAGGCGGCGCAGGCGGCGGCAGCCACGTCGCTGGTTCTGCGGGAGTATCCCGTCCTGCTGTCGGAGACGCTGCAAAGATTGTTATGGACCGTCGTCGTCGCTGGAACGAGGCATTCCTGCCTATCTTTGACGACATCAAGACTACCATTCCCTCTGAGGGAGAGTCGATCTTCGACCCAGAAGTCATGGCTGAATACGAGAAAGCCGAGCTTGAGAACTGGGACGAGGAATGATTCCTCCCTCTCCGTTCTCTGCCGAATCTTCATCACTCGAAGATAACCCGTCTTCTATCATTTGGCTGCCTCCTAGCCACCTCAACTTTGACTTATTTTTTGCACGATACGATACAAATGCATGATGGACTAGCGTGGCGTTAGCGGATACCTCTTTTTTTTCTGTTCCACAACATCAAATGTTGAACTGCTGGCTATTTTGTAGTCCGCCTGAAATTACACTGGGTCTTTTCCACAACATACTATAACTAACTACCTAGTTATATGTGATTATGTTCATATATTCTTATCCTTAAGTCCCAAGCTGTGAGCTTACAATGAGACAAAGGTTCCCAATCTTCAAGTCTCCAGCGGTACCTTGGGAACCATATAAACGCAAAAGTAGGGTATCAATCAATTCCGACCATATAAAAAAACCTCCCAAAAAAAAAACTCCCCCAACTCATCTATGAAGAATCAATACCTCCCAGGGATACCTCTTCAATCTAGCCGTCAGCTCCCTCTCACTCATCTCCAACTCCGTACAAATCTGATCAAAGCAATGCGTACCATCAAGATACTTCCCAAGAGCCTCATCCCCGACAACCTCATCCTCCTCGTCCCAAAACGCCGACGGCGCCCCCGCACTCCCATTCGCATTCCGACCCCCACTCACCACCGACCCAGCCCGCTCACGACTAGACTCCCTCCTCGCAGCCGTCGAGATAGACGCGTCCTCCGACACACTAGAGATCGCATAGGGTGTATTGGTGCCGGTATTGACGCGCGACGACAGAGCCGTTGGCGTGAACGAGGACGCACGCGGCGGGGGGGCAGGCTGACTCGTTGCACAGGCATATTTGTGCACGCGGTACAGGAAGCCCTTTATCACGCCGAAAGTGATGAAGCGACGGATGTCAATGTTGGCTAGCGAGCGACTGTGCGTTGCGTACCATTGCTTGACGCTCTGGCCTTGTTTTAGGCTTGCGTATAGCTCGACCAGCGCGGCGCCGTCAACGATCGCTGGTTTGTGGAGCGTGTTTGGGGGTGTTTTTGGGGAGGTGGAGGTGGAAGAGTTTTCTTCGGCGCCTAGGAGGGGCCAGATTTCTTCGGCGTCGAAGCGGGATTCTTCCCGTGTGAGGCTAGGTGTTGGGTCGGTAAGGGAGCTGGAGAGCTGAGCTGTTTCGGAGCTGTCGTTTAAGCTGCCATTTGTGCTGCCGTTGGCGCTTGGGCTGGGGATAAGGCTGGGGGGTGGAGGGGAGGAGGGTCCGGTTGCTGGGTGTGGTGCGAAGCGGAGGTTTACGTAGCGGGCACATTCTAGTTGCATTGCTTCGTCGGAGCCTATTGTTGCGGTAAACTGGGCGGTTGGGGCGTAGATGGCGGAGAAGGAGAAGATGTCGAGGATGAATAGACAGCCATAGTAGAGGAGATGTCGGAGGGCGCGGCAGGTGAGGGAGAAGTCTGTGTCTGCTAGTACGGAGATGATGCGGACGCTGTTGACGCCGTTGATATGTGGTACAATCTGCCGGGGTTCAGCTGCTGTCTTCCTAGCCATATGGGGGTGGGGGGGGTCTCATTGTCATCTTTCACATACCCTTTGCATGGTCAAATCCCAGTTCTCATCCATGAAAGCCTGGTATCGCAACGTGAAGAGCGGCACTTGCCAGGCCTTGACGGCTGGGGGAGAAGGGTATATCGGGAAAAGCTTGATATTCAGAGTGTTTAAATCGTCTGGGTAGAATAATTAGCAGCGGAATCACGCTAAACAGGTTCATGGACATACCAATGGGAATCATGCACTCGCAATAGTTGTTCAAGTCCTCCATCAACATCTCACAGAGACTATACACCTTCCCTTCACCACTCTTCGAGAAATCACGGGACAAGAAACCATTCTGCTCTTCTAGGCCATGCATTAGATCTGCTAGTTTCTGCACCACGCTCTTATACGTGCTAAAGTCGTCCTCCTCTGCGAGGACTATGCAGAAGTTGAAGATGAACTCATTCCGGTCATACCGCACAGACTTCATGCATATTGGGTATCCCAGGATACGATATCCGTTTGTGCAGACTTGCAAAAGGTTCCCACAGAGCTCCTGGCGGGGGATCACGAAGAAGGAGACATCGGAGAAAGTGAGGAAGGGTGGTTGTGAGGGCGCGGTTGGGGAGGGCACGATAGCTCCGTCGGGGACTTGATGGACGACTTTGGGCCCTGCATAACATCAGTCAGTATGTAACGAATTCAAGGTTCATCATGGTATTGAAGGTCCTTACCCTCTATCGTGTCAAATTTACTATAGAAGATTGCCTTGATCATCGTGGCTGTGTTGTAGGGTTGATATGAATGTGTAAAGCTAAGCAGGGTGTGAATCAGCGCAGGCTATTGGCCAAATTCAATCAAACACAAAGCTGAAATGAGATTCATGTTCATGTTCATGGCATGGAGATCAGTTGCGGAGCGGACCTCGGAGCGGAGAGCTTATCGAAGTCAATGTCTCTCAGACTATTCCAAATTAGGCTAGACTGTGTACGGTTAAAGCTCAGATCATGTGATACATAGTTTCTAGCTATCCCCGCACTTTGTCTACCAACTCACTCCATGTTGTACGTCTTGCTTTTCCTTATTCAAAGATATTCTTTTCTACACACATCTCACAGGAGCTCCTAATCTGTAAACATCCCTAGTCTTCCCTCAAACAATGGCTACAAAATAAGGTTGACCAACTTAGCCGCAAGCCAACAAGAAAGGAAATCAACATCCTTCCCTTCTAGCTCTGAATCGAAGAGACGATGTCTTCCACTACCACAGAAGATCGGAAATGCGATACACCCACATCTGGTGGTCTTGACGATGAATCCATAGGCTCCCTTATGGAGTATATCGAAGCCCGCTCTAGGCATTGTCCTTGGAAAGGCAGATCATTCATCATCCGCTGCCCTTTGACAGGCCTTGCTATTGGGCTTCAGAGAGGCATTTTACGCCTTGTCCCTGAAGACAGTGAGTACGTGGGTGGTATCCACTGGTCATGCGTCGAATCCGACGAGAGATTGTTGGGGTTTCAAAACGTGGTTTCCGGCACCTTTCTCGGGCGTAACAACAAGGGTGAATTTATCGCGGAGGCTAAGTTGCACCGGGACTACGAATCGTTTTGTGTGCGACAACATCCGAATGGCGGCTATGTCCTCCTCGTAAATCGGGGCAGTGGATTCTTGCCGATGCGGAGAGACGGCGTAAAGCTCGTGGTCGGCACTAACAAAGATGAGGGCATAGCATGGGATTTTTCTCGTGTCGGACAGGACCATGATATTTGATTCCACTCTTTTTTCTATCCCCAAAAACTAGCTTTTTTGAATAATGTTCAATACCAAGGCAGATTCAGTCTGCAGATCGAGCTGTACGCTACTCATATATTGGACAAGCATGGGAATGATATTCGTAAATATATTTCTGAGTAAGTTAGAATAATTTTTGCTGTTTGCTGAAAATCCCCCGATTAACACGTTGAATATGAATATCCCCGGCGCAGCAAATAATGAAAAAGTTAACGAGTCAAACAACAAAGCATGATGAGGAGTAGGAACATGAGGGTATTAATGAAAATGAGACAGGAGACAATGAAATCTATGCGTATGCGTATGCAAAAGAATCTTCTGGGGGTGTCGTAAGGATATAGATAAAGAAAAGCAAAGGGAACCCCGAGAAGAAGGAGCCAGTCCACTTCAGACAATGCGAGAGAGGTAAGATGCGCCGTAAAAATGCAAAACACGAATCAGAACAGGGCTCTATCCAAAGGGTCTGATGGTCGAGTAAATATTATGCAGTCATTGAGCCGTGCCGGAGGCATGGTTGGATGTAGATGGAAGTGCAGTGTTTGTTGCGATAATGCTGTCTGGCACTGTGAACAAGGCCGCCCTTGTCACCACACGAGCCGCACCGCGACCGCGTGGGATTCGGACATTGTCGGCGACAAGAGTCAAGGGCTGGTTCGCGCGAATAGCATGCACCATCTCACCGAAACTGCCACGTTCTCCAGCCTCCTTCAGCCATTGTTCCCAGTCTTCATCCAGCGGCACATCAGTGCCTTGGTCGCGAGCGGCCATCGCAGCAAGGATTCGGTTGTTGAGGGCTACGCCACAACTTTCCATTTCCTCGTCGCTTAGTTCCTCTTCGATTTCGTGCTCCTCGGCGGACCGGTAACTGGAGGCTCGGGAATCGATCGCACGGACCGTGTCATTGCTTTGAGTCTCGATGATCTGGTCATCTTCCTCTTCTGTCCCGCAGAAGTCGCAGTCAATGAAGTGGATCTCGATTGACGGGGCGGGTTGAGGAGATGCCGGTCGGACCGAGTGGGCTGTAGTGTCCTGTACAGTGATGCCTTCTTCTGCCTCGTACCGCTGACGCGCGGACTTGGTCCCTTCCCATCGACACAGATTGGAGATCTCCTCCTCTGTCAGACCAAGTTGGTCAAAAGTTTGAAATAGCTTTCGGTGCCAAGGGAAACGACCCAGTCGCATGCGATGCGGTCCATACGAGTAGTCCAGCCCCGGGTATTGTGCTTCGATGCAGTCTAGCGAGCCGTAGAAGAGGGATGTTTCGACACGTACTTCTGGGACGAGGTTTCGGGTAATGTGAGCACCAAACGACCCTGGGTCGTTTGGACGAGGTCGTGGAAACGTGGCGTTATACACGATTTGACCCACGGACGGTTTACGCATGGTGAAGGTCGGATGTGGAGGGAGTTAAGAGGTAAAGGAGCAAATTAAAAGAGGCGAGGTCGTCCTAGGCACCCTGGAATGTGATGATTCGGGATATCCAGCCCTGAAGGGTCCCCCCTTGCCCTTTGTCAAATTCCCGGACGTTTGGACGTGGATGTTTTGGGGGTGAGGAGAGCTTCAGTTGGCAGTGGGGGGTAACAACGCTAGAGACGGCGCGGATAGTAAATTCTTGAGAATACAACAGAAATGCTTCTTCAACCTGGATTTCCCGTAATGCAAGTCACTGGATATAATAATTAAGAAGAGAAGAGAAATCTCGATCAGGTGCCCCAGCTGACGTTTCGGCTCTTTGACCCTTGGGGGAATTGAAGGTCTCACAGGCGTACCATTGATAGTCAATTGCAGAAGAAGGTGGAAAATAGAAACTGGAAAGAAACAGAAAGAAAATAGAATAGTTTGGGAAGAGACAACAGGTCTTGGGCTTTATAACTAAGATTCCCAAGTGTGCGTTGGCATGGCATGGCCACGATGCACGGCCAGCTGTTAAGGCGTAGAACACATTCCTTCTGGACTTGGACTTGAACTTCGCATATTTAACTATGCAATATATTCCATCGAATCATAATGCTCTGAATTAGTTTTATTATACAAAGATTGGACATATTTGGATTTGTTTTATGACCCTTTCGGTTCTATGTTCACATCACGTGCAAGCAACAGGTTTAGCATTCTAGCAGTCTAGCACATCTTCACCTGGGCAACCTTGGACATGCAATCTGACCTCAGCTTCTGAATGTGTTGCCATGTCGACCTTCAATGGCATCGTAGAAGGTGAGACCGGCACTTCCACGTCACTGCCCACGCTAATCATCCGACAGAGTTTCCGGATATTCGCAGTGAGCTTCACCTATGAAATCAGCCAAACTTACGGCTAAGAAAAGCAGTTGACTATTTTCGGAAATGCCCAGAGCGGCCGGCACCACTAGCTTGCTTCCTCAGCCATGTGCATAGCGATCATTTACAGGGCCTCGAGTCCTTTCGGGCACCGTTTATCTACTGCTCGCCAGCCACGCGAGAGGCACGCTCCTGTGTATCCTATTAAATTCTTTAAACTGACCATGCGCAGCTACTCCTCCGAATTGAAAAGTATCCCCATCGGATGAACTTTAATAAAGGCATCTTGGAGTCACGCCGACTGCACTATAAGCATCTCGCAAAGCTTCTGGTTAGTATAGTTCTACACTTTGACTAGAGTTGACCAGGTGCTCATCCCGCACAGCGCCCAATTCCACTGAATACCCCAACAGAAATTGAACTCACTCCTCGACGTCATATCAGAGTGACGTTGTTTGATGCCAACCATTGCACTGGGGCTGTGATGTTTCTAATTCAAGGGGACGAGAAGGCAATCATTTACACAGGTGACATCCGAGGTGAGTCAATGATGTCTCATCTTGGTTGAACTACTAGCTGATTATCTTCAGCCGAGACATGGTGGGTGAGCAGCCTAGTCCGCCACCCGGTCTTGATACCGTATACTCTGGGCCAGAAACGGCTGGATAACCTGTATCTGGACTCTACATTTGCAAGCAAGACAAACCCATTCCTGGAGTTCCCTTCCAAGGCCGAGGGACTGTCTGAGCTGCTGCAAAAAGTCCAGGCTTATCCTGATGATACAGTCTTCTACTTCCGTGCGTGGACATTCGGTTACGAGGATGTTTGGATGGCGCTCTCAGCTGCGCTGAACACGAAGGTGATTGATACCACGCCGCTCAAACATAGCATTCGCTAATTAGCGTAGATCCATGTGGATCGTTACCAGATGGGACTTTATCGGTCTCTAGTCCAGACTCCAGGCAATAGGGGGGTTGGTGAAGTCCCTGCTCTCTGTGGCTTCGAGCTAGGAAACAGAGCTGTAACAGGCTGCCTAAGCAACGACGAATCGAGTCGAATCCACAGTTGCGAGCCTGGGGTCTCATGTTTGGCAGCTCGCGGCACTAACACGGTCTACATTGTGCCCATTGTGAATCGCACAACCGGCGGTGCGGAAATCCCTGAGGTCGGTGCGGGTGGTGGTATTGGGGATTTGTATCAAACTCATGAACTCGAGCTGCCAGATGAATCTACATTGGCCGAGTTAGAGAAGCTGTGTCTCAAACACGTCCAGGACAAAAAAGCCCTTTCTCAGATCCGAGGTGCCCTTATGGATGCTTTCCAGTCGAGAAAGAAGGCGCTCTCGCTTGATACATATGGCGTGAAGGAGGAAGGTGAAATCTCATTGAAGAATCTGGTGACCGCTCTAAGCCATGGTCCATCTGATACATCTAGCCGGTCGTCCCAGACAGACCTGCCCAACACGATAGTAAGTGGCACTACTGTTTTCTTCGATAATCCTCTAATGCCATTATAGCGGTTCCCATATTCACGACACTCTTCCTACTCCGAACTGTGTGAGCTCGTAGCTGCCTTCCGGCCCAAGGACATTCATCCATGCACCGTGGATCCAACGACCTGGAACGAAGACATCTCCATCAGACGCCTGTTTGGCCACCTCTGCTCAGGAACCGATTTTTCACACGACAATTACATGCAGCAAATTGTAGCTAATCATGTTGATGGCGAGGGAGATTTGCGCGCAAGAAAAAGGGCCCGGTACGACATGGACCTCTCTACACAGTCCACACAAGAATCCAGTAGTGGAATTGAAGATTTGAGCCTTGGTATCGCCGATGCAAGCCGTCATCCTGATCAGAAGCAGGACTCTCTACATCGTTTGAGTCAATTCGAAGAGGCGGCCAGAGTTAAACGCAACGAAATCCGTCAAGCACACCGATATCTCCAAGAGCATGCAGAGCCTAGACTGTTTCAAGTCAATCCTCTCCCGTCTACATGGCCGACAGGAAAGGAAGACAGGTTTGATCCGGCCAGTGATGAGGGAAGTGAAGAAGAGGATACGCTCATACCTGACCAGCCATATTTAGAACCTTCGGCTAGAGGGCTCCGACACAGGTCCGAACCAAGCACATCTACAGGGATCATTGACCTAACTGGCGACGGTACTTCATCTCCTCATCCAATCAACCAAAAAACAGACAGTCAACACACAGACATACTTGCTCTCTCCATCTCCGAGTCAGCGTTTGACTCTCCGGACCAAAATTCCGTTGGAAATAGGCTACGGGACCCAGCGCGAGGAGAAGAAAATCTGAATCGATCACGCCATGCGCGTGTTGCTGCTTATCTAGCTGCGCGCGAAGGTACTTTCTCAGCTTGGACGAATATATCAATTCTTTCGGCGGGTGATCATCATGGTGAGGAGGAGATTGAGCTATAGGCTTGATAATCTATTCATATTGGTAGGCGGATGGATCTTTGTCCTTTTGTTTTTTCTATCTTCTTCAATTTACTGTATATGATACCCCTCTGAGTTTTTTTTTTTCTCGATCTTGCCATCTGGTATTTCGCCAATGGCAGGAACGATGCCATCGTGGGTTTCTGTTCCTTTCATAGAATTGCCTAGATGGATCACTGACTTGCAAAAGTATTTTCGTGCTCCAGATTAGTACATCACTTACTCTGCACTGTTACCCTTAAACATCAGCTTTGTGGGCCTATAAACAGCAAGGTTGGTCCACCAATAAAAGACCCTACATTGTCGAGACAAACCCTAAAAACCTGGCGCGAGTAAAGCATCAATATCATAATTTTCTTGATGATTCCACTATAGAGAACAAAGAACTGAACAATGGCCATACGAATCTAATATTATAACAAAGCCTTGGTCTACCCTGCAACTACCTTCCCCTTCCCTTGTATACTAATTTCTTTCAACATCATGACTACTTACATATCTGAGGACAAAGAGAACAAAGTTCCTCAACAACAAGTCATATGCCTTTCATTCCTTTCTTCTTGATGAAGGCCTTGTCTACAGTCTAGTCAAGCCAGTGAGATGCAAATGCATAAATAGGCCCTTATTCCTTGACATTTCGAGGAATCATCCGCCTCACAGTTCTTTCTCCATCAGTACAACCAGTTCAGTCTACTCTACTCTCAGCTTTACACTTAATCCACTAGCCCTAAGCAGGTAAGTGATATATCCCATTCATCTATTCATCTCTCCCTTTCTATATCACCAGAGGACATCAGCCCCTCCCCGTTCATCCACAATGCCTGAGTCTATCGGTACTAGACTTTTCCGTGGTACTCGGGCTATTTTCAAGTACCGGAAGGAGCGCGGTATTCTAGTAAACAACATCCGTTCCTATATCGCCACTTTACGCCAGATGCCCGAGGGCAACTACCTCATTGAGGTCGCCCTCAACATCCAGTCCCTGAAGGTTCAGGCTGACAAGGTGAAGTGGGCTTCCCAAGCCCTCGCTGTTGATGCCGCGGACATGAAATATGTCACCTCCCAGGGAATCGCCCACTTCACCTGCACCATTCCCCAGATCTGTGACATGGTCGGCCGTGATACCCTCCAGATGGCCAAGATCCTCCATGACCACATCCACCGTCCCATTATCAACACCGAGCACGAGATCGCACTCCATCTGGAACATGCACTGGCTAACCTGGGCTACATCTAGATCCTCATTTCCACCCCGTCGAGTTGCGGACTCACACCAGTATCAGCATTAGTATCAGCATCGGCGTAGCTATAGCTGTAGCAGTATCTCAGCTCCAGACCCAGGTACGTTCCAATACATTCATTCACATTAACATTTCCATTTCCATCTAGATCTATAGCCCCCACAATCCCCTCATTCACATCACCATGGCGCATATAAACCAAGCCCGCGTCTCCGCCTTCCGCAAGGCGCGCGACAACCTCGTGACCCTCCTAGAGCAGCAATCGACCTTCCTACGCCACGACATCGACAGCCGTGCGTATGTGATCCCCAACCTCCGCCTCCAGCTCATCCAGCATATCGACATCGTCGCCTCTCTTTCGAGGAAGATGGCCGTCGAGAGCCGTCACCATCCCTACGTCCTAGTACAACAGAGTGGCTTCTACGAGACGGTCGTTCCTATGCACTGCGCCGCGATCAAGGGCCAGTGTGCCTATCTTGCGGATCGGCTGCGCGATAACCTTTGCACTGACGTTCCTATTGCTGTGGCGAGACTGATTGATCAGATTGTGGCTAACTTGTGCTTTTAGATAGGTTCTGGAATTGGATTATCACTTACTACTGGTTTGTTTCTCGTATATTCGACCTACCGTCTCTCCTACGACGCTATGGCTATTATGCCTCCCCGACCTGGCCCTGTGTCGGCTTTTAAACGTGAGCGCGCGACGTTTGTCTCCGGTTTAGGGATGCAGGCGAGGGTGCTGAGAGCGGACCCCCAGGCTTATGAGGATGTTTCTGAGAGTCTACGTGAGCTTGTTACTAGTGTTCATCGGATCAAGGATACCTCTATGGCTATGGCTGTTGATGCTCGTGGCAACGCTTATGTCCTGGCGAAACCGTACGGGTTCTATAGCCATAATGTGCCGTTCATGTGCAATGATCTTATTGCTAGTTTGTTGCACTGGGCGGATATTCTTGTTAATACTGATGGGCGCAGGACGGATAGGATTGTTGTTGATTCTATTGAGGGGACCTTGGCTTCTTTAGGGTTTTGAGGAGAGAAAAGGAGAAAAAGATAGCTCGCTTGATCCATGATTGTTTCCTTATTGACTTACGTGCCGTTTGAGAAAAGTAAAAGTAAAAGAAAATCGCTTCGTTAGAATATAGAAATCCATATCGTGCAAAATGTCCAACTCAGAAGAGTAACGAGGTATAAAGAAGCTGTAAAGACCAAAGGGAAAAGCTAAAAGCATGCAAAACAGAAAGAAGCCACCAAGATCCTCAGAAGATATAATACGCCTGTGTCAAGGGCAACTCCGAAGCCGGCTCTGCATCGCAAAGCATCCCATCTGCCTCAACAGTATAACTCTCCGGATCAACCTTCATCTTCGGCATAGCATCATTAAACTTCATATCCTTCTTCCCAACAGAACGACAATTCCTCACAGCCTCAATGCGCTTCTTCAATCCGTACGTCTGTACAATCCCCGCATCGATAGAAGCCTGCGAAACAAACATAATAGACGTAGCCGGGACGCGCGCACCAAACATCGGCCGTATAATCATCGGCTCGACAGTTGGGATCGACGCATTCGGATCTCCCATCTCGGCAGTAACAATCATCCCGCTCTTCAGAACAGATGTAGGCTTCGTGCCGAATGTCGCCGACTTCCACATTACCAGATCGGCTACCTTGCCGACCTCTACGGACCCGACTAGATGCGACATCCCCTGCGCGAGAGCAGGGTTGATCGTGTACTTACTGATGTACCGCTTCACGCGGAAATTGTCCGCGCCGCTGTCGGCGTCGCTTCCGAGCGGGCCGCGCTGTGTCTTGTTCTTGTGCGCTGTGTGCCAGGTGCGGAGGATTACTTCGCCGCAGCGGCCCATTGCTTGGGAGTCAGAGGACATCATACTGATCGCGCCGAGGTCTTGGAGGACGTCTTCGGCGGCGATGGTCTCTGCGCGGATGCGGCTTTCGGCGAAAGCCACGTCCTCGGGGATGTTCTTCGATAAGTGGTGGCAGACCATTAACATGTCGAGGTGTTCGTCGAGGGTGTTGAGGGTGAAGGGGCGGGTAGGGTTTGTGCTGCTAGGGAGGACATTAGGGTGTTCGACGACAGAGATGATGTCTGGGGCGTGGCCGCCGCCTGCGCCTTCGGTGTGGTAGGTATGGATTGTGCGGCCTTTGAAGGCTTCGATGGTCTGCTCGACGAAGCCGGATTCGTTCAGTGTGTCCGTGTGTATCATGCACTGCACATCGTACTTGTCGCAGACTTCGAGGCAGTTGTCGATTGCTGCTGGGGTGGAGCCCCAATCTTCGTGAAGCTTGAGGCCTGCTGCGCCTGCTAGGATCTGCTCTTCGATGCTCTTCTTTCCGCAGTCGTTGCCCTTTCCGGTGATGCCGATGTTGATCGGCAGGCTATCGCATGCTTGCATCATCTGGCGCAGGTGATTCGGTCCCGGTGTACATGTCGTCGCGTTTGATCCAGTGCTAGGGCCAGTGCCGCCACCGAGGAAAGTGGTGATTCCCGATGCTAGGGCTTCATCCACCTGCTGCGGGCAGATCAAGTGGATGTGCGTGTCGATACCACCAGCGGTAACAATCTTGTTCTCTCCAGCAATGACATCCGTAGATGAACCCACCACCAGATCCGGATGCACGCCGTCCATGACATCCGGGTTCCCAGCCTTACCAATACCAGCAATAAGCCCATCCTTGATACCGATATCAGCCTTGTAGATACCAGTCCAATCGATAATCAACGCATTCGTAATAACGGTATCAACACACTCGGTATGAGACCGACCAGATGCCTGGCCCATCCCCTCGCGCAGCGTCTTGCCCCCACCAAAAGAACACTCATCCCCATAAGTCGTCATGTCCTTCTCAACCTTAATCCACAAATCCGTCAACCCAAGCCGCACCAGATCCCCCGTCGTAGGACCAAACATGCGCGAGTACGCCTCGCGCTCCATCGAGAATCCAGCAACAAGTGCGCTATCCGCCTGCGGCTCTGGCACATGCGCAAACCCAGCTATCTGCAGCTTGGTTATAATCTCGTCGGCACGACTCATATCCACCGGCCCATTCGCCAGCCAATTTCCACCGCGGATAACGCGATTCCCACCGATCTCGACAAGCGTAACCGTCTTCGTATCACCGGGCTCGAATCTGATCGATGTGCCCGCAGGGATGTCCAGTCGGAAACCGTACGACTGCAAGCGGTCGAAGTGCAGCTGCGGGTTCGTCTCGATGAAATGGTAATGGGATCCGACCTGGCAATCAACACTGTAATTAGCATCACTTGCTTCTCTCCGCTTTTCTTTTTTTGCCTTTGCGCCGTGTAAATTGAATGAAATGTACACACCTGAATCGGCCGATCCCCTTTGCTCATAACCTTAAGCCTAATACGCCTCTTCCCAGCACTCAACTGCACGCGCGCATGCTTAACAGGAATCACCGCGCCGGGCATCTTCTCAGGCATGAAATCCTCCGGGTCCGGGTCGGGGAATGCCTCGGGCGCGGGGACGGGCAAGAAACTGCCATACAGGGCGCGCTCGAGGTCGCCCTCGTCGCTACTGATCGGGTGGTGCACGGTTACCAGGTAGGTACCGGAGGTGAAAGTTCCCTCGACTTGGAGCTCGACGAGGGTTGCCAGTACGGAGGGGAGGACGTGGCGGCGGCCGAGCATTGTTTTGCCGATGGACATCAGATCGGCGACGGAGTACTGGCCATCGCGGATTAACTGCGGGGGTTTGAGTTAGTTTGCGCATTGAATTAATTGGAGATATAGTATGTCCTGATATCATTGTAGGGGATTGGATGCGTTTGTCGTACCTCGTGTAGCACTGAGGCTATCAGGGCCTGTTGGGGGATATTAGTGGTCGTGTCCTACACCTCTTGAAGATACACATACCACAGCTTCTGCATGGTTGAGCCGCACTCCACGTGCTAAACGACGCTGTGCCAAGAAGCCTAGGTGGGCGATGGTAAGCTTGTCAAGCTACAGGGGTGTTAGTTGTTTGTCTCTCGGGGGAATGTATGTGCGACTTGCCTCCTTCGGAATAAGCTGCATAGTGCATGTGGAACCTGAACCTGGCAGTTCTTGGCGTGCAGGATAACTGAATTTTCAGGCTGTTTGAGCAAGTTTGAAACCTCAAGAGTTAGTGAAGGTGTAGAAGATGCAGTTCAAGGAGATCTAAGTAGGAAAGGCAAAAAAGCGAGGAATGTGGGGATGCGGTACATTTCAAATGGCGTCCAGGGCTTTCTTCTCTGATAAGGCCATCGCCCATGATAAGTGACCGTGGAGGCCGATTGGGCCGGGGAACGGAGGTTAGCGACATTAGTCAAGGCTTTGCTAAATTGATAGTTAACTAATCAACTACATACATGTAATTAATGCACTGGGACTTAGTTGGAGTTAGTGAGATCTAGTCTGTTTTTTCTTTTATCTGGCTTTGTATGTCCACGGGTTACTATTTAGCCCTGACCTACCATAGATACTAGAACTCATGGGGATATCTAGAAACCACGTCCTATGATCAGTCCATTTCACTCGTTCAGGCTAAATAGGTACAGTTTTTCTCCAAACGCCGCTGAAAAAGGCAAACCGAGGGGTTACACATCCAATCCAACAGACCGATACCCATCTCATCTGACCCCGGAGTCAAGCAAATCAGAAAGCAGAAAGCATCACAAACTCCTTTACACCTCGCTCTTGCGCTTCTTGGTCCTACGCTTGTTTTCAGCCGGTGTCTTGACAGCCGGTGTTGACACCGGCTCCGCAGCCTTGCGACCCCGCTTGACAGGCGACTTGGCAGGAGTCTCGGCTTCCTTGGCCTTGGTATCACTGCGGCGGCGCTTGGTGGTGCTGCGCGGCGGGGTCTTTTCCTTCACGGGAGACGGGGACTGCGACTCGTCGGATGATTCGGTGGACTCCTCGGCAGACTCCTCGTGCTCAGCCTCACCCTCGACCCCAGCCTCAGCCTCAGCCTCGGGCTCGGCACCGGCAAAGTCCTGTTGCAGTTGGTTGGCTGCGGGATCGTGGTCCTCCTCAACCTTGTTGCTGGCCTTGTAGGCTGCCATATCGCGCTTGTACTGGTCGTAGTTGGCGGCATACATCTTCTTCCAGACCTATGCGAATGGGTTAGCTCTGTATTCTTGAGTACAATACTAAGCTGGAACTGATTTGATGCCAATACATACCTCCTTCTGGGTATCTTCCATGCTCTGCCAGCGCCGGGTGCCCTCGTCGGCGACATCCTTGGGGCGCGCATCATTGCCCAAGTCGGCGGCGATCTTGCTGCGGTTGTGCTGCATATACAAGAAGTAGGGTGTCAAGGCACGCTTGGGCGCGTTGGGGTCGACGGGCGCGCGCTTGCGCTTCTTGGGGCCACCAGCCTCAGACTTAGCACCGGGGCTGCCGGCACGGAAAAGAAAATCCGGGCCCATGAATCCAGAGGGACCGAGGGGGAGCTCAATGTTGGCATCGCGTCCTTCGGTGATGTTGTTTACATGCTGGACGTAGGCCTTGCCTAGGTCAGCAATGTAAGACTGCACCTCCATGAGGCGCATGACGATCTATGAGGCATTGTTAGCGGTGTTATATCAAGGGCAATTACGCTTATTCATTGTGTATATGTATGGGTATATGGTTAGGGAAGCAAGAGGGGTAGTCAGGAAGCGCGTAAGTTGGTAAGAAAGTCGCGATGTCAAGATGGGTCTGCGAGTCTGAATAGAGGAGAAGGGGCAGGGGATGTTCTTTTCTTTTGCACATGAAGCTTGCCAACATGATGCTGAAGTATGAGATGATATAGTCTAAGCTTCAACAGCTTAATGGGTAGCTTTATAGATCCTAAAACGCGACGCGTAGCAGGCGCGCACTTGGGAATGCGCACAAGAAAACAGAAGAACAGAAGAAAAGAACCGAAATGCAGAAAATACAAAAGTCAGAGAGCAAAAAAAGAGAGGGAAAAAATTACCAAGTCGCTGGCCCGTCTGAGCTCTTCTTTGTTGACCTGAACGGTCGTGTCATCTTGGTTGGAAGCCATTGTTTTGAAGCCGAGAGAATGGGTTGGGGTGAAGAAAAGAGAATTTTCCTGTTTTTCGGGGGGGGAAGGGGGGAAGAGGACCGGGGGGTGGAAGGGCCGAGGGGGGGTACCCACTAAATAGCAAAAGGCACCCCCGAAGTGCCCCGGGCATTTTCGCTCTGCTTTAGGCTTAGGCTCTGGGCCTTGTCATGCGACACACCCCCGGGAACCCCAGGCAACACAGTGCACCTCCGGAGTCCTTTCCATATGTTATTCTATTCACTTGGCTATCATAAAGTATTACCTTTCAGTTCTTAAACTATGTCATTCATAGGTCCTTTGATAGTAGTCCATAATATTTTAGGGATTGCTAAATTCATAATAAATACGTAACTACCTATCCCAGATGACAGGCTTTTATGGGGCCATGTAGTTATTCTTGTATACTTGCTAAGGAATTTGATTGTATTCATATATAGTTGACTATTGATTTCTCCAGATCTTTTTGTTATGTCACAGATATAGTCCTTGGTACTATTTCTGCTCTTTTCCCTTTTTTGAGGGGCTGGACATATTCAAATGTGGGCTATGTTCTACTCCCCCCCGCTATGTCAACTTCAGGGTCGCCCGGGCTCAGCTGAACACCCAACTGAACACAAGGTGTCAAACTTGTAGTACGAACGCCTATTCTGACTTCTTAATTCAATTCATTAAAACTGCATTAACTGAATTTCTGATTCTTTTCTTGCCGGCGCAATTATTTCAGTATACTCTATAATCTAGTGCCTGGTAATGTATGTCACTTAGCTACCAATAACTAGGTACTTTGTGTACATGTATATGTATGTAGGCAGTTATTCAATTGATTCTAGGTATAGATTCCTTTGTTTTACTGTATTACTATATTAACACTACTTCGGCGCCATCTTCTGTTGATATCGTATTCTGCAAAAGTATTTCCAGTTGGTGTACACATATATATCCACCACCCTTCCCATCTTCATCTTCATTATGGTCCACATGCTTTTTTCCTCTCTTTATATCTACCTATGTAGTTCTTATCATTGTTCATGCGACAGAGATAACTACAAGCGCCAGATAAACATGATTATCTATTTGGAAGCAAAATGCATTTCTTCTATAATATGACGTCCGAAGCCAGCCAGAGACACGGCAACACGCCGAAAACAAGATGCACCAATATACATGGCTATCCTGTCGCATAGCCAACTAGCGACATATTCTAGCTAAATATTCTACAATAATCTAGAACTTGAAGACCTGGTCCTTGCTGTAACCCAGATCCTTCAAGATACCAGTGAGCTCACCCTGGTCCTTGGGGCTGACCTTAGCACCGGAGATAGCCTTGTACATGGGGGGAGGGCCACAGACGAAAATCTTGATGTTCTCCTCCTTGGGCTCCGGCAGAACGGTCTTCAGCAGCTCCTTGGTGATGAAACCCTTGCCACCGGTCCACTCCGCAGGGGGCTTGTCCAGGACGTAGAAGGCACGGAAGCGCTGGGGGTAAGTGTTCTCCAAATCATGCAGCTCCTTCTTCAGGAGGATATCCTCCTCGGTGACATTGCCGAAGACCAAAGTGACCTTGGTCTTGTCCTCGGGGTTCTTGAAGATCTCACGAGCGAGCTGGTACATCGGGGTGATACCAGTACCACCGGCGATCAGGCAAATGTGGTCGTGCTTGTTGGCCTCCCAGGGATACTTGATAAGAGGACCCTTGAACGACAGGCGCTGGTTGACGTTCATGGAATGGATGTGCTCAGACATAGGGCCGCCGGGGTAGGACTTGACAACAAGTTCAAGGTAACCGGGGATATCTGCTATGTGTTAGCATTTGAAAACTAAGTCGCATTTTATGATTTCCTACCCTCATCACTAGTGGGGGTATAAGGACGGAGAATGTTCTTCTCGGCACCCTCGGGCTTGAAACGAGTCAACAGAGCAGCTAGATTCCTGTTAGTGATTGATTGGTAACCATGCTCGGAGTCAGACTACTCACAAGCAACAGGAAGGCCAGAGACAGCTTCCTTATCATCATACTCGAAGCGAAGACGCTTGGCGTTGGGGCTCAGGATTTCAATATTAGCCAACTTGAGATCAACCCAGTCCTCGCCGTTGAAGACCTTGGGGCGGTCCTTGGGCTCAGCGACCGCGCCGGTGCTGTAGCGGTACAAACCAGCACCGAGACCGGCGAGGCCCACACCAACGTAGATGGGGGCCAAGTTGGACTTCTTGGGAGCGGCCTCCGCAGAGTATTTGCGGAAACCCTGATTGAACGGTTTTAGTATGGGGATTCAATTGAGAACCCTTTTCAACTTACCTGCTTCAAGGGCTGCACACAACGGAAAGATTGACGAGCAAACATGATTGCAATGACTTGGGGAATGGGGTAAGAGGGAAACGAGGAACTTGGGAAGGCCCCGAAGAAATTGGATTACATATGCGAAAGCGGACAGCTCCCTCCCGACCTGATTTCGAATGACGCAATAGTTCCTGGACACCTGTACATACCAATGTTTTCCAAGGTTCTGTAAAGACTGTTTAAGTAAACTTGAAGATAGTCATAAGATACTTCAAGTAGCTAGTCTTTATTGCCAGTCCAATCAAAGACTTGCAACTAAAATGGCAGTTGAAGATAGCACGTGGGTGCCTGATATACAAGGCATCCAAGCCGGTCCCAGGCGCGGCTAAAACAACCCTTACTTCAAGACCGAAACTGCAATGTAAAGAGGGCGATAGGATCGATTAGTATTTTATATGGAGCATTGACCCCCATGGATCTATATGAATGTAGTTTACAATGAGATATATGGCCAGTAGTAAGCGATTTGCAACGAGTACCTTGTGTAACAGTACAACCATACGGCCACTTTGTGAATGGACAGACTTTGACAGGAATCAGAAGGCCTTCATTGCAGGTTGATACATCCGAAATGATGTCTTGGCATCTATCAAATAAGCACTCTCCATGTATGCCCATTGTGCTACTAGAACTCGAATAATTCAAGAAACCCGATGATTTTTTCAAAATAACCTAAAGATGCCACCATACGGGGGACTAGAGACATCCAACCATCTCGCCCGTGAGCGGGGCGGTGGTTTCCACATGACCATCTTTCATGCATGCTATGGCCATAAACAGTCATTCATCCACACACTCCAAACCCAACACCCGAAACATCACATTTAAGCAAAGGTAGAGGGGCGAGAGTAGGCGAAGACCTTCTTGCCGACCTTGCCACCGGCGCGGTGGGGCAGAGGGAACTTGAGGTCCTTCTGGAGGAGCTGCTTGATGTAGGGGCGGCGGATGCTGTCATTGTTCTCGATCTCAACAACCTTGAGGATCTGCAGGGAAATAATCATTAGAATATGGTCATTGTCGGAAGGTTCGGGTAGCGCAACATACGTGGATGGAACCGAAACGAGAGCGGTGACGGGCAGCCATGTCCTGGTAGAGGGCCTCAACAGCGTCGGTGCGGCTCATCTCACGGAACTCCTTGTACATGTTGTGGGTACCGGAGCGCGAGTCGTAGCGGATCCAGATACCGAAGTTCTTGACCTTGAGGGGACGCTTCTCGTCGATCTAGACACGAGACGATGAGTACCATTCCATATCCTCGAATATTCAATCCCAACATACCACGTTCAGGGAAACGATCTCGCCGTTGGCCTTCTTGAGCTTACGGAGCTGGGACATGAAGTACCAGAAACGCGACTTGGCCACAACGGTGTTGGGCGCAAAGATGCGCATGCGGTACAGCTTGGGCGTGGGGTTCGCCTCGTTGGGCAGGTGACGCCCGATGACCTGGTACTCAGTAAGACGCCCTGGGAATCCGTCAGCCATAGTTCCTAGTGTATATTCCAATTGCCCAGATGTCCAGTTCGAGAGATGAAACGGTGCGCGATGCAGGTTGGCGAAAATTCGAGAAGAGCAAGGGTGATATGTGGATATTGAAAACTTCGAGATTCAACCATGCGTAGCCCTGATCGACAGCGTTGTGCGTTCCTTCATAAACATTTCCAAGCGACATCGATTTGCCATTGCGTCCTCCTCTTTTGTGATTGCATCATGCGATATCGTGGGTGTTCTTTGCGTCTCGAAGTTCGTCCAACCAATATGCGCACACCGTTGTCTCGAAAAAAAGACCTGGGGGATCGGGAAGGGAATAGAAATCACTCACCCATCTGGAAGAGTTCAATGTTAGTATAAATCCCCGATAAAATCAAGCGGCAAGTACTCACTGTGATTGTCGCTGTGGTGGATGAGTCGTTAGTGTGCCGTCGATGGAAAATGAGAATTGTGAGGTTCCAATTGTGCTTAGGGTTGCCGCCCTTGCCCTAAGCGAGTGGAGGCATTCCGTTCTGCGCTAGTCCCATTTAGCCATCTGACTGCGCCACTCCTCTTCCGCCACATTGCACCAGCCACATTGCCTCGCCTTCCCCACATGCCTTCTCCAAAAGTATGGACTCTTGCTTGTCTTGGTCAGTTCGGATCTCAACCCTTTCCCCACCTCGAATGCTTCTTTTCAACTCATAAATTGACAATCAATTTAATCAACGCGCTCTTTCGCCAGAGGGTAGTTCACCATGACTTCTCTCCCGACCGCATTCAAGAACGCATACCTCAACGGGTCCGGCCCGGAATTAGCTGCTGTGCTCACCCCGATCGCGCCGTCCGAAGATCGCGATCGGCTGCGCTCCTTTTACCAGTTCTCCAACGCCGAATACATATCCAAGGATCTCAGCTACGCTCTCTTCCATGGGAAAAGTCTGAAATTGCCGAAGGCCGAACAAAATGCCTGGGTTGACATCTTTGCTGTTTACTGGGAAGCTATAGGCGAAATACTTCGGTGTGAAGATCACCTTCCGGGTGCTAGTGTTGTTACAGTCTTCAATGCCTGGAAAAAGGTCGCCAATGCCCTCATCCGGGGATACTCGGGCTCTGCCGGCATTCCGGCTTGGACATTGCCATGCTTGTACACAGTCGGGAAGTACTTGCGTACTTTCGCGATCAATGCCGATCTTGAAGCAGCATCCCAAGGCTCCACTGGATTTGGGTTCCAGGATGACATCGCAGCTGATGTTGAGAAGAATGCGAACTTGGAGGAGGCTGCTCGGGTCATTAACCGGATGTTCACTCTGTGCCTGAGTGATAGGTAAGGATATGGTTAGATTATTTGAGTTGTTCCATTGCTGATCAGATCCAGAGCACCCCCTGAAGAGTCCCGTAAGTGGGGTATCTACAACATGACCAATCTCCTATTCAAGACGTATTTCAAGGTACCAAATGTCAACCTCACTGTCGCTCGGAAAATGTTCATCTCTCTCCTTTAGATCAACTCCGTCGGTCTTACCAAAAACTTGCTTCGCGCCATCAAAGCCTCATCGGCTGATCTTCCCCCTCCCGAAGCATTCCCTAAAGCTCACATTGTCACCTTCGAATATTACGTTGGAGTCATCCACTTCTTGGATGAGAATTACCCAGAGGTATTAGCAAGAGCTGTGTCCGTGGACCATCACCAGGACTGATTATTTGCATTATAGGCTGAAGAACATCTAACGTGGGCTTGGAAGATGTGTCATCGAGACGCAACCAAGAATCGAGAGTCAGTAGCCCTCCAGCTATATATGGGCTTTCACTAACCACTATCAGATTGATTCTTACCTACCTTATTCCCTGTCACCTGGTGACCACACACACGCTCCCCACCAAGGAACTTCTCGCGCCATTCCCACGACTCGAGAAGCTTTTCCGGTCTCTGTCGAACTGTATCCGAAAAGGCGACTTGGTTGGATTCGACCAGGCTATGTCTGACGGCGAGGAAGAGTTTGTCAAGAGACGTATTTACCTGCCGTTAGAACGTGGACGTGATATTGCCTTGCGCAACCTTTTCCGAAAAGTTTTCCTCGCTGGTGGTTTCGACGAACCCAAGGAGAGTCAATCTCCGGTTCGGCGTACTCGTGTGCATGTGAATGAATTTGCCGCAGCTCTCCGTGTGGGTACTTCTACAAGTGGCCGGTCGCGCATCGATATTGATGAGGTGGAGTGTCTGCTTTCCAATCTCATCTACAAGGTAGGCTGACAAGTATAATCAATCCGTAAGTGTTTACTGACATGTCGCCTCCTTAGGGACTCATGAAAGGATACATCGCACGTGATCGAGGCATCATCGTCTTGAGCAAGGGAGGTGCTTTCCCGGGCACAGGTGTCTAATTACGCTTTTGGGTGGCAATGCACTGCAACGTGTTTGAACCTCATTTCGTCTAATGCTCATGGACAACTCCCTCGTTGGTCGCCAGGACCTTCAAAATGGTCAGGTATACACACATCCGCCTATGACTTACATTCATGCAGCTATATTATTCGACATACCAGGATACTCAGGCTCATGAGCTAACACCGCTGCCGAAGAATTTTGGCCTGACGTGATACAAATTGCACACTAGCAACTACTTGGTCATCGGCCGGATCGAAGCGCCAGCTTAATCAGTGTCATCCAGTTCACGCTGGCCTGGTACACGAGATATATCAAAACTGGGCTAGCTGGACTATATTAGATCCTATCTTTACGAATTTACGAATCAATCATTTCGAGAATTACACCTTGATTCACACTCTTCATTCTGTAGGTATCGAAACATAGTGGTACACGGGTATGAAACACTGCCAGCAGCGATATAAAATGACGAAAACCGCGCGATTAGTCAAAAAGCCAACAACCCACCTTAATCCGGAACTATGACCATCCCTAACAATGAGTGGTAACAGCTGAACTATCAACCGACTGACCAGTAGGGTCATCCTATATCGTAGACCAAATTAGCACCTCATCCCCAAGCGCAAAGAAAGGTAAACTCACCATATGATTACACAAAGCAACAAACAGATCAAAAAACAATTTCCCCCCACGCTCCATCTCCGCCTGCATAGTTCCACTGCGCATAAAAGTGCTCCGCGACCGCACAATCAGCGCAAGGTAATGCGCCCGCAGCTTCGACTCCGTATCCGGCGTGTTTTCGTACACGAACCGAGCACTTGCAAGTATCGTGCTGCACTGGATCCCAGTGTGCAGGCCCTGTTTACGCAGCGCGAGACGCTGGAGACGGGGGAGTTTGTATTTCTCTGCTGCGCAGCTGTCGAAACATACATTAGTACACACACATTCATAGCCAGATGAGAATAAGTAAAAGAAAAAAAATTCAACCTACTAAATAGCCGTATCCCGTAATATCACCCCCTGCGCTCGATGATGAAACACCGTCGCCGTCGCCTGTCCCAATTCTCCACTGGCGCCTGCGCCAACGCCGGCATCGGCGTCCTCCAGCTCCCATGTCTGAGTTCGGCTGTTGTGTCGCAGCCGCGGGTAGTAGTCGCCCTTGTAGAGGTACTCGAGGACGCAGGAGAAAACTTCGGCTTGCTCGTCTGGGAGGTCAATGCGTTTGCTTGCCGGTTGGAGGGGGAGTCTAGGCCGTGGCGCATTCGGGTCCGGTGTTTGGGCTGTACAGTGCGTGGCAAAGAAGGGCGATGCGCAGAGGATGGCTTCGTGGGCGGCGAAGAGGCGGTTTTCGGGGCCCACGCGGAGCATTACTATTGGACTTGTTGGGGGTGTTCTGGGGGTCGGGTTAGCGGTTGGATTAATGATTTGGTGGTGCAGATGATGGTGATGATGAAATGTAGACGCAGATGGAGATGGAGATACATGGGCATGGACTTACGTTACGTCTGGGGGTTTGTCGAATCTTCGACGCTGCTCAAGTCGTCGAGTCTTACTCCGAATTGAGCCGGAACCAGATCCAGAGCCAGAGTTCTCTCGCTCTTTGTCCTTAGGCACTCGATCTTTGGTTCTGTCGCGAGGAACCCGGCGCGACTGGAGCGTGAAAGCTGAAGCTTTTGCCGCGCGATACCGGCCAGGAATTGGAGTCTCTGGTGTTCTCTTGGACAACATTGCTATTATATTATGGACTGGATAGGATAGGAGACTGGATTGGGGATAATATAGAGACAGCTGTGGATGGATTCAGGGGCAGATGTGGCAGTATTTATAAAAGACAGAGAGGACTACAAGCTCCCGTTTGTTACGGAGACAAGTCACATCGTACATCTATTATTGTATTCTGAGCATATTACAGGACGTGGGACGGGTTGCATACAGATGATCGACTGAATAGCTCTCATTAGCCAGCGTAGAGGGGTAGGGCTCGGCGAAAGACGCGTCACAGCTAGTTTCGACCGCGTAAAGGGGTTTTTTAAGTCGCCAAATCGGCGCGTGGTCACGGGCCTAGATTTGGCCAATCAGATGCCGCCATCGAGACAAAGGAAATTGGTATTTCCTATTTGGGAAATAGTTGTGGATTGTGGATTATTGACGCAGATTCTGATGGTTTCTTTGTTGTAATTGATACGTCCATTGGGAAACAGCTATGGTGAGATTGTTATTTTACCTTGAACTTGCTTATGCTCGATGTCAGGTTTGAATTAAATTGCAGTGCTTCGTACAGCTTTGAATGGACCTGCATTGCAATGCCGCAACATATAAGCCCCTGAACGCCGACGCTAACGCCCCTGGCAAGACCCGGCTCCCTGAAGACGTGTCTCATCGACGTTTGCCATGGAAAGAAAAATACCCAGAGATATGAGGACAGGGAAAGAAAGAGAAAGAAAGAGAAAGAAAGAGAAAGACCTACACTACAGGAATACTTTCTTGGCATCCTTGGGGTGGCTTTCGCTAGGACAATACGGGCATTTAAACCGGTTACCCTTGCCCAGGCGTTTCAACGATTCCTGCGCAATGACATGTCCACATGGCATCATCATAGGAGGATTCTCATCGGTCGCTTGCTCCTTTGAAACCGGACAGACAAAGATAGAATGGAAGAGATATTGGGGAGGGAGAGGTATTTCGACCTGAAAATACAGATATTAGTGTTGATTCGTACACAGAGTAGCGGTTTCCTTACCGGAAGCTCGTTGTCGGAAGTCCACTCCGTCCGCTTCGACTTCATGATCGTCTGTAGTTTCAATAGCGTCGGCAGAGCGATCGCGCCCGCCGTAGCAGCAATATACAGCGGTGAATCCGCCGAAAGACCCAGCAATGAACAGAACTCACGATTGAAGAAGTGAGCTACGTCATCCCAGGCCGAGCTAGTATTGTTGAAGAGAGCTGCATATGGCGACTCGCTGAGGTTGGACGAGTACGCCATTGCGCCCACTAGCTGCTGAACTTCTCTCAAATACCGAGGCACGAAGAGATGGAACTCCTGCCGTGCATACTCGAGCGCTGCTAGCCATCCGCTTGCGGTTCCCTGGCTGTTCGCTCCGCCATGGTACAGCCATACGAATTGCAGTCGACAGAGTTCAAATTCCAGGTTGCTGCCTCGGGCTTCCAGCGCCTCGCGGTTTTCTCTCGACCATTCGATCGCAGGCAGTAAGTTCCTGTTCTCTTGTAGTTGTTGTAGGATATAGTACATTGAGGCGAATTGTTTCCGGATCTCGGTCGAAGGGACTTCGTCAATATCGAGCAGGCTCGCAGTTGTATTGGTCGGTACACGCTCGTTCTGGGAGACTGGATACATTCTCTTCTCCTCGGCAATCTCGGAGAGGAAGGTGGCGGCCACGCCGAACTGACCTTCGCGAAGGAGATGCATGGCGATAGCGCGGTTGATCAGGGTTTCGTGTGAAGAGAGGTCATCGTCGTCGGTGCTAGGCAGTGGTCGATCTTTAAACAGCTGTTCCAGATGTTAGATTGGTAGCAACGCATGGACGATCAGTATTCTGGATACCTTATCTAGCGATTTGGTGTACTTGTTGAGGCCACTGTGAGTCTCTTTCAAGCTGGCATTGATAGAGTCAAAGGACGATTTAACCGAGTTGTGAAGGGTGGCTAGAGTGGCAGAGGCAGTGGATGGATCTATTTGGGGAGAAATCGACGTCGTCAGTTGAGAAACCTGGCGGGGCACGTTTACTACTGACCAGCAGCTATGGCATCGCGAGCAGACTGAAGTGAATCGATTGCAGACTGAACATTCTTGATGCCCTGAGAGCCCTCGGTCCTCTTGAGGAGTCGGCTGTGTTCTTTCTGCACTACTTCCATTGCAGGTGGGTTTCGGTTGATATGCTCGGAGGTGACTGGAGAGGTTACCGAGTCTCGCCATGTGGAGAACTTCAGATAAGAGCTCTTTATCTCGGCGCGGGATGCAATATATAAAATTTTGAGGCAATATAAATCTTTGTTCCAAAACGATGCAGCGAAATAGAGACAACCGTCAGAGAAAACCGGGCGAAATCGAACTGAGAGACAAGCTGTTCCCGGTGATCTTCCACGTGATTCAACCCCTCCGAAGGTGAATGGCAAGTGATTATGGAGCAATAGGGAATCTTGCCCAGGCCTGGTACATAGTAGATGAGCAGCATGAGCACGCATATTCCATCCATGAAGCTAAAAGTCATACACTACATACATGCATACAAATTATCCTATTCATTTCCAGCTTCCGGTACACAGCCACCTCGCATTAACACCAAATTTCACAAGAATCAGCCCTTCTTCGAATCTACACTCCATAGCTTGGTATATACTTAGGCCTGGTGAGCTTCAGGCCAAGAATCCCGGTGAGTAACCCCATGTAAGCCTCCCTGTACCCTACATCAGCATCGTAGGCTTTCGTAGCCCTGTAACCTGGGCGTTATTTTGGCACTACATACCGCCTTCCGTATTCGTCCATATATCACATCTAGCTTCGGCTTCATAGTTTCTCCGCCTAACTCCGATATTTCCGGGTATCCACGGCTGCACACGGCTATTTTGCTTCGGAGTATCCTTTATTCCGAGCTCGTCACCTACCTTTTCATTGCTGCTGCCTTCAGCCAATAGGAAAATATAAATAGGTGGTCTCCCCCCCAAACTTGGTCCTCTTTTTTCTTTCTTCTTCATCCTAGTGCATGGGTTTTACACGTATCAGTGAGGAGACATCCGAGATCGTGTTTTTGCTAGTTGAAAACTACCAAATTGACTGCTTCAAGCGAGCTTTACCGCACGCTTGGGAATTTTTGAAACATTACTGCCTCAACTCCTTGACTCTTGAGTCCTCGAGTTTGAATTTGATTCTTCGATGGGCGACTTCGGTCACCCTCGAGTATCTTGAGTCTTTTCACTACTTGCTACCCATGTCGGTGGCTCTTAGAGAAGAGATAACGCTTAGATAGTTCCATGATCTTGTTAGACAATCCATAAACTTCAAAAGAAAATTTTCAAAACAAGTCGCGTCCTGACTGACGCGTCCGTAAGTCGCATCACATTTCGCCCTTGCCAGCCGGCCCACTGTTCCCCCCTTACGGCAGCCACCTGGGCAGTCTTTATTGAAGTTGTTTTTGCTGCCATCACTTCTCTCCTTGAAACTCCTTGCACTGCTAGATAAACTATCTTCATCCGCGTTTCTTATCGGTTTTTGGTTGAAATGTCGCCGTAGGGTCAACACTGCCCCACTGATGTAATACCCCTCGGTCATCCACTCTCTACTCCGTACTCCTGTACACATTCGGCTACTCCATGCCGGTGCCGGTGTCTACTCAGCCGGCTGGTCGAACCGAACACCACGCTATCAATAAGTTTCATCTCAATGGAGCTCCAACACAGCCAAACCATGGACCTGTCGTGGAATTACAGTCACTGACATATCACTAGAACATCTCCCAGCCACCTTTCAGTCTAGGTACCTCTACTGACTGCATTCCCTACCGGCCAACAAAGCAGACCCCAGCCCCTTGTCCGACCGGGAAGTTGCCGTGCTGTTAAAACAGGTTGAAACGTCGGAACAACGTGCCAGCCAGATACCTCATCATGAGCATCGAACTCATGTAGGTGTATCCTGGGTCCCACCTCTTAACCTGTCTGCTTCCTCACATATGCCCCTTTGACACGTCTAGTATCAAAAGACAGATACTCCGTGCTTATTGGTTTCTCTCCCAAATCGGTACCTGAGATCATATTACAGGTACAACCGTAGTCACGGGAGCGGCGGTTGTTCTCGGTTGCTCTCGGTTGCTCTCGTCTTTACACCGGGATTTGAGATCCGTGAAATGCTCATAGGACTTTCCTTCCAGACCCCGGTCCCTTCCATCCTCGCCAAGGGATATACGTTGGCCTTTGATGCAACTCTGATACACTACAGGCGACAGGTACAGTGAGAATACAAGCTTTGATCATCCACGAGGCGATCACTTCCATCTCCACATTTGATACGTGCGAAACGGTGCGATGTACATGATGCTTTGCTTTCCCAATGTCGACAAACATATCCCAGCCCCGGCCCCACCAATGGTACTAAAGGATATGTAACCAGGTTCTCGATTCCCTTTTTTTTTATGGAGCTCAGTGGAGCAACAAGCAATCTGATTTTTCATTCTACGCATAGATATCAGTCAAAGCATGCCAAATTCATTATCTACCTCCCAAGTTTCATGAAAGCGACATAAATACACCATCTTTGTGCTAATTCTGTAACCCGGCTTGTGCCTTTCATGTACGAAACATGTGCTTCTTACACGAAACAACGATCAAGGGGTTGCCAATTCCTTAATAGACCCACATACCATAACTGACCCTCGTCATAGGGGCAGGGATCGACAGGCACAATATTTGTTGCCTGATTCCCAACCTAAGGATGGATCACTTTCTCTCTTTGTCAACTACTTGAGTAAAGAGATGTGGCTGGTATCCAACTTCACCAGCCCGTGCTCTTTGATACTGTCGTTATAACAAGACTATGACTGCTGCTCCAAACCACACTCTTTAGCTATACGCACACATTATAATGTTCCTCCCTTCCTGGGTCTTTCCGGCCGTAGCCGCGTCCACTTGGCTAGGTGAGGTCTTGAATTTTCCACGATCGCATTGAGCAATATGCTAACATTGGATTTAGCAATGCTACTCACTATGTTAGGCCACTGGACTATGATCGGTGAACCGAGATATGGCTTGATGAAGCCTGGTCAGAATATACCGTGAGCACTTGCCTTCTTTGGTCATCCTCAATCATGCCAAGATTTAACCAACATCTTTGAACAGATTCATTTCAGATATTGGAGCCCAGGAATTAAAACCCTTATTCATGATCGGATCGATCACAACAGTCCTACTTCTAAACCTCTCTTTCTACCAACATGTTCAAAACAAGTCATACATCAGCAAAGCGTGCACGCACGGTTCATTCCTTTTCACAGTTGTCGGGAGTATCGGATTGATTATGCTATCCGTCCTCGACAACATCGCCCACCATTTCATGCACGATGTCTGCGTGACAATCTTTATGTATGTCCCTCGCCAAGACCGCTATACCCGATATATCCGGTATACCTCTTAAGTCACAATGTACTGACAGCTCCAGCGTCGGGTTTCTCGTCAGCGCGGCCTTGATGTGCTTGGATTATATCTATCTGGGCATCGCACATGCCCTGCGGCAGCCCATGCTCATGACAAGTTTTCTTATCAAATCCTCGTTCATTGTCGTTGAACTTGCCCTCATTATTGTCTTCCGGGTCACGGAGCATACCCATTACAACCAGAATAACATGGCTGCTACTCTTGAATGGGGTGAGTATACATATGATTTTCGCCTGTCCACTGCCTGATATTATACTAATCCGCTCCATAGTCATCGCCTTTGTCTTCACCGGTTATATTCTCTCTTTGATTGTCGATCTGATGCCATCCGCTCACAAGAATCTCCACAATCCAAAGGGATATCAACCAGTCCAGATGAGCATGGCCTTGCCTTAGCCCGTGGCTGGATACGTCCTATTGTATAGACGCTTGCCTGTAACTTATAGCGTTGATTCGATTCGCGACCTTTTTAGAATGTACATATATATTTCTGTGCTCGTGAGACGAATACCAAGAATTTCTTTTTTTTCTTTATAACTACGTGACAGTCTACTTGCTTGACTTCCCAATATAACAACATCCGCTAATGTATTTCCCTCGAGACCCGGTCCTTGCCAAGCAACCAATCCCCATTCGGGTACCACACTTCTATCTATCGCACTTCACACCGCCTTCTATTTTTATATATCACTTTCGTCAAATATGTAGTAGCAAGACAGTCGCAATTTGTATGTAATCCTGTATCAAAATAAAGTAACTGCTGTCATATCAACTTCTTTATTATTAAGGGGTTAAATTTAGAGGAATCAGGTAGAATATACTTTTTTTTCTGATCAAAATGCATGTCTTTTGTGGCAGATTATATGGCAGAATACAAGGTCGCACCTAATAAGGAAGGCGGTACTGGTGGGGAAAGCGGAATCCTCAAGTAGTGGCCTTACCTTTCAGGCGTGGAGAGAATATCGGGGCGTTGATGTCAACTACATAGAATCCTAGAGGAGAGAATCTAGACCAGTCACCACTTACAGAATGAAAAAGGAGCTTACAGGATGTTGTTGTATTAGGAGATAAAGATTTCTACTACGGTCTGTGTGATCCCCATGCTTGCTAGCTGACCTCCCTGGATGGTTGGTATTGCTATGTCGCTCTCGTCTTGTCTGCTAGGCCAGACTGTCCATCGTGCATATCCACATATCCCTCTTCACTAGTTATTTAAACCGTAGGCAGGGGGTCCAATATGCTATGGCGCGAAGTTTTCGAACAACTTGCAACAATAGTTCGCGCTATAGCTATACGATACCTCTTTATGGATCGTTCATTGTAGAAAATATAAAGCCTCGGATAGTGACTGTAAATTTCCTATCTGTTTCGAGAGTCGAGAAACTGATGATGAGCCGTATGTGCCTTTTGTATGCAAATCTTTAACAAAAGGTACAATTGCCACTATTTCCGTCATGGTGTGGTAAGCTATAACACCCGAATGGTGTTGGGTTACTTACATAGCGAGGACTTACTCCGTAGTTGAAATTATAATCTGTCAGAACCCTATATTGTAGTTTATCTGTCTAATCGCCGATGATGGCAAAGATGGTCTAGTTAACCCGATGGTGGCTAGCTGATGGACCTATAATGTGGCGGTACGAACAAGCCACAGTGGCTGTGCCCATCTGGCATGCTGGTTGGTCCACGGCCCCGGAGGTTGACACCCACTTACTGTTTATGATGACTACGACCGACGCTAAAAAAATACCGGCAATTAAGTCCGAGAACGGCTCTTGGGTTTGGGCGATAGAATTTTGGCAATAAGATGGTTAGTCCGGAGTAGGGCTGGAGCTGTGGAGAGGCGTACGTACGCATCGACAACGCCAAGCCCAGCAGCGGAAGACTGAGCAGCAATCGACAGGCCCCCAAAGATAATCTGCAAATGCTAATATTATGTTACAAAGTTGGCTGTTCATATTGGAATTGACACTGAATAGCTGCAAGCTGGAACTCTACCGATACTCAGATATATATTGATGGAGTCGATCAATAGATTAAATAAGAACGGCAAATCGATCTAGGGTCTGGCTACGTCTTCATCGATCGATACTCTTACCAAGTGGAGGAGATACCCAGCACGTCCCAATCATAGGCTTCTGATACTCCACATCGGCAAGTCGTACGTGATGTGATGCCATCATCCCCGTCTAAGACTAGGCTCAGCTCATAGCGTCTTAGCTCTATTCTGATCGGTGACGCCACTCAGTCTTTATAAAGGGCAGCTGTAACCCCTCCATCCTTTTCCTTCCAGAATTATACTCACACTCAAATAACATCTCGATCTCACTGTTCATCAATCTACCACCTCCCCACTTCATCATACCATCATCAACCATGGGTCTCTTCAGCCACCACGACAAGCACGAGCACGAGCACGAGAACCACGGGAACCACGGAAACCACGGCGACCAGCAAGGTCCCGGCGGTCCCCATGGTGGCCCTGGCGGTCCCGGCGGAGGACCCCAGGGTGGATTCCAAGGACAGCAGCAGGGTGGCCCTGGTGGCCCTGGTGGCCCTGGGTTTGGAGGACCCCAGGGTGGATTCCAGGGACAGCAGCAAGGTGGCCAACACCAGGGTGGCCCCGGCGGACCTGGTGGTCAGGGAGGTTTCGGACAACAGGGTGGTCCTGGACAACACCAGGGTGGACATGGCGGACCCGGTGGTCCCCATGGAGGAGTATGTATAGCTCGTTCACTCACATGAGTCTTTTGCTGACTATTATACAGCCGGGTGGACGCTAAATAGCAGGACAGAGGTGACTGGAGGTGGATATCCTAGAGCTTTGGGAGCACATGCTTTGAATTGATAGGCTCATAACATGCATAGTTCTATCGGAAATGTAAATCCGTCTGCCATTTCGCTGGACGAGCATCCTGGTGATGACTTTCGAGAATTGCCTCTTTCTTCTTGATGCCGTATTCGCTTTGCTGTATAAGAGTTAGCATGTAATTTCCCGACAGACGTCATATATTGGAGAGAGATTTCATTGTAGAAGAGATCTTATTGGAGAATAATTAGCCTCGTAATTTTTCTCTTGAGCATTTAGCAGAGATATATTGCATCTTGGGAGCGCTGACCATTGTCGCGAGGTCTCTTCAAAGCTGTTAAATCCTAAAGAGGGGAGATGTACAATCATAGATGCCTGAGGCTAAAACACCAGACAGCCATGGTCACATGATCCGTCCGCCATCAGGTACAGAAATGACGTCGCCACTTCTGCACACCTCGGGGGTTTATGCGGTTCTCAAGGCGTTCGCCCGTAATACATTTGCCTTTCTCCTTTTATTTCAGGTTCATGCTATGCCTCAAACCCTGTTGCCTGGATATGTCACAACTGTTCCGACCTGACCAAGAGTGCAGGAGGATCGAAGGAAGGCCGGCACTCCCTTCGTATCTTGAGCTTAGGAGAGGTGATCTACTTTAAGGTTGGGTTGAATGGTCGGCGCTATTTTCATCTTGTTCCTTTAGCATATGAGCCCAACAGGAGACCAGCCATCATGCAGGTCAACGCTCCGAATGTCCCTCCGGTCGATCGTACCGACTCTCTGCCATCGGAGGCCGCCTCTCACGCAACTGGAGCCGAACGTCCCTCACCGCAAGGCCACCAGCGAATTGTGTTCACTGATGCGGTTGCCCTCCGATACCTAGAAGAAGACCCTTCGACCGATGTGCTCCAGCGACGTGTAACACTGCAAGGGTATGAAATTTATATTGTTGAGCAATGGGCCTGCTCTCGCGTGCATCCGACATTCATCATTTCGACCTATACCGGTGACCCTTCGCATACGGTGATTGTGGGAGTACTGAGTGTTCCGACCAATGAAACTACATGGTCGCCTCGATTGCGGATGTACTTTGACGCCATGAAGCAATGCCACGCCAGAAGGAAGGAAACACCACTAGGGACGGTCATGGTTACCGATTTGGCCTCATTTCCTTCTGCCTTGAGTCTTATTCCAATACCAAACGGCGACATCAAGAAACACCGGGAGGATTTCATTGTGAATGAAGACTTAAAAAGACTTGGGTGCGCAGGCCGCGCGGGCTTGAAGCTTCAACATCCCTCAGCGGCGACCGAAGCCAAGTTTCATCAGTTGTACCGAACAAGCGAGAGGGTTCCTTTATACAATGCGGTCATGGAATTGGTCAGACAATGCCAGATTGCCTTGATGGTGTTTGACAAGCTAGCCCCGGAATATGTGGACGGGCTACTTTGTGATGTGACTGAGGCAGCTATTAGCGATTGGTGGACAGATATCGGAACAGACCTGTACAACATTGAGCCAAGCGACAGCAGCCTAGGACCCACTAGCGTGGCTGCATTGCTGGGCACGTTGCTTGGGGCTCGAAATAGACTGCACGCCTATGGCGCCCCAGTGGGGAAAGACGCATTCGACTTCCACAGTCTGAAAAGAGGAATTGGTGGGTTCCAAAAGTCTCAAAAAATGAAGCGGTCTCGAAGACTGGATCGACTCACATTGGACCGGTTACACCGTGTCACGGCCAAGGCTGCTAACGCAGAAGGCTGGACCGATGCAGTGAAGTCAACCATGGCGGAGCTGAGTGGACAAGGTGGTGAAATGGTTATGGGGATGGTCCGCGGGCGCGACAAAGGCGGTATTGCCGATATCGAAACACTGGATCTTGACACTTTTGTTCAGTGCTGCAATGGTGAGAGAGCCAAGTGGCTGTGGCTGGGTAAACCGCGCAAGAGTGGTGTCGAAGACGGGTTCACCCGGGGAACTGGATCGGATATGATGTTTACTACCGATGAACAAGGTGGTTATGTCTGGACCAGTCGCAGAAAGCATTCGACAGAGGATTTACATGCCGAGCGAGCGAGCTCCGCGCTAGATCGCTCTTGGAAGACGCCAGAACCGCCCGCCGAAGAAAAGGATCATCGAAAGAAGGGCGTCAGTGGGCGAGTTTCAGATGCGCGAGCAGGGCTAGGACGTTTCAAAGATGCAGTCGGACGGCAGCGCCATCATCATCAGCATCATTCTTCACGAGACAGCTCCGAGGTGACACACGATCTTGCATACCGCCCGTCCATCGATAGTGATAACGAGGCACCGTCAACAAAAACACGAACCGACTCTGGGTTCCGCTCAGAAAGAAAGATATCAAACGATATCGAAAAGCTCATTGAGGAGGAAGAGAAACCTCAACTGTCCCCTTTTTCCGAGTCTGAGAGAAAAGCTCCTGAAATCCATATCGAACCTGTGCCAGAAGATGAGCCAGAAACACAAGCTCAAGACTGGCCCATTGTACAGCAGGCTCCAATAATCGAGGAAGAATCCGATATGGAACGCGTTATATCTCGGTCGACGGCAGCGTCAACGGATCGTGACCGT